ACTCACCATGATGAGCTACAAGACCATTCGAGAGCAATTCATACTAAATGAAAATAATTTGAAACAATCAATTTTCTATAGACAATATAATATAACAATCAGAACTATTAAGGAATCAATCGTTTATAATAGTCTAATAATAGTAGAGGTTATTGCGATCGAGAGGTCGAGATCGTCAGTTAATTAAGTAAATATTAAATTTTCAATATATTAAAATAGGTATCATAGTACAAGTGTGGGGGAACCATGCTTCGGCACGAATGGGTCGGCTTGACCGGAGTGATACCACGGCCTCACAGACAATCGGCGTGAAACAACCACAGCGTTGTGTTTCGCCGTATGATTGAGGTTAACGGAGGCCGAATCCTTCCCCTCCCCCGTTCCCTCCCCAATCCCTTAATCTCCAAAACCCTAATCCCTAAGAGGTCGGCAACGCACTCTTAACTACTCTGTTGCGGATGTCCATGGGCGGCGCTGGTTGCTTACTATCAGGTAATCCGTCTGCTCGTTTGCCGACCTATTACATAAAAAAGGTATAAAATATAGGTGTCGTGGCCCTAAAGTTAAGGCGCATCTCATGCACGAGGGTAAGGATCCGAAACCTGGCAAGTACCATTGAGACTCTTTCCGAGTGCGGTGACATTACTGACATACGAATTTGAAATCACCAATGCGCCAGAGCAAGCGTAGTGATTAATGTTCACCGTGTGCTCAGTAGTGGGCAGCTTGAGTCTTGTTTGTCCGCAGACCCACGTTTACGGAGGCTGAAGAACTTCACGCGTTTGGAGTGTATTATTTAACCCGTGATATTGATATTAATTTAAGAGTGCGGATCTACGCAAGACACAATGTGTTTTCTATTGTGTCTCATAGACCGGCAAAAAAATGGTTAATGGTTTCGGCGTGAGGAAAATAGTTCCCTCACACACTTTGTCTTCTTCTTTACAAGCATGGCCGATGAGGAGACGTCGCCAGTGATCGGTTTCCTTGAGACACGTTGTTGCTTAGCTCAAGCAAAACACACCATTACCGTATGCTCCATCGTATCCTCAGCGTGGTTCTTACGTTGTGCTCCGCACGCGCCTCAAAGAGGCAAGAGACCATCACAGACGAGGCCTGATAGGGCTGATATTCAGCATGGGTTGCGGGGCAAGTGCAATAAGTCACCGAGGCTTCAGCCAAGGGCAGGAGAAGGAACGGGGGATTTTTAGTCAGTAAGAGTCTGACACTACCTCTCGCCTCACTCAGGGTGGGAGAGGTCTTTTGATTTATACCTCACAAAAAATGGATGGTTTTTGCAACTTATTACGTATATATACTTTTAGGGTTCTCCATTGACCCAGTCTTAAAAGTTACGATTATCGTCAATAACAGCAGAACTTTTTTGTAATGTGATGATAATTGTAAGTAATGAGTAACAACTAACTATACGTTTTCGCTTTCCGAGTAGTTTTTATTACTGTTCAACTATTTATTTAAATAACCTGAAAGAATTAACTTGGATAATTTACTATAATCTGTTTAAACGGGGCCTATTATTTAGTTTACCTAATTTGTTGATGTCCTTAATAGAACTTCTATTAGTAGTAGTTAATCAGGGACATTTAGTAGGACGGATACAAAGATTTTGAAAAAGATTAGACTTATTAAAATTGGTGTCGAGGCGCCATGTTAAGTGTCCATTGTCCAGTACAATAATGCTTTCAGGATTCTGCCATGGCGCTGTAGCGCTCCAAGTATGTTTGCAGAAGCTTACACGGATGGCTTCAAAGCGGTAATACGTAAGAAAACAGCTTCCTTGTTGCAGCGTCTGCGCAACGCCAACAACACTATTCTGAAAGTTATTGCTACTAGGTATGACTGCCCTTTCCAAACACTTTGGATAAGGGTAGTAAATGGAATTTAATAGATGCAATATGCAACTTTCAAATTTTTATTATAACTTTCGTGAGACATTCTAAATTATTTATTATGTTTTCGGCTTACTCACGTAATAATTTGACGAGATACCCGACTAGTTTCAAGCCATGCTAGAGGCCCATATTCATGAGCAGCATTCCGCGACACGCGACTCGGCGACTGTCAGTAGCAGCGCGACAGTAGCCGAGTCGCGTGAAACTAGTCGAGTATCTCGTCAAATTATAACGTGCGTAAGCCGAAAACATAACTTTCAAATATATAAAAAAAATAGTAAGTTAATATTGTCACTAACTCACTAACCAAATATGAGCATTTTTCTAAAATAAAAGTTATTCTATTCTATACATTTTGCATATTCAGTAAAATGAAAATATTACGAATAGAAACGCTACGTAAACTTGTAGCCTTATGTCGATTTTTAGGCACGGAACCCAAAAGGTATAATTATTAGTCAGTCATCAGCAATCATTAAGACCCTTTTATTGTATAAAATATTTTATTTCTGTACCAAACGTGACTCTAGCGTGATTATGTGTCAATGACATTTTAAGAGCTCGGTTGAGTTCGTGGCTAGGATACCAAGTAACTTTTTTTAGCACATCTCTATGAACAATCGCTTTCATCTGTTTTAACCAAACTTAACACAAATTCTCGTAGACGCGTATGTATTTATTTTTCTTGCTCGTTTTACATATTTTCTGGCCTCTTTGTAATGTTAGGGTTGAGTTAATTCCTAAAAGTTATTAACAATAATTAACCTACCAATTGTGTTTTTGTTGACACATTTTTCGAGATAAAACCTCATGAGGGATGGCACAATTCAGATATCAATCATTTAGCTGTAATGGAAACGTAACAAAGTATTTACCACAATACATGTCTAGGTGCCCTAAGGCATTTCATATATACTACATATTTCGATCAGTCTAAGTTTGACTAAGTTTGTTGCTTTTCGAAACATGATTGGACCTTGAATCTTCAAAAACAGTTTGGGGCGACGTAGGGAGTCTACGTGTAGCTAAATGTATTTTGACGAGGGAGATAGTTATTGTAAATAAAAAAGGACTGTAATATTTCATTATGACAGAGCCATACTTTGGTACAAATAGGCCGTCTTCACAGGAAACCATCTTGTAACGGCACTGGCAATGTGTTTCGCCTTTTAGTAGGGTTTTAGCCAGTATACGCAATCTACAAAATTAAATCATCTATTTCTCAAGTCTCTCATACATTAAGGTCCGTCCATTTCCACTAATTACGAGCGTGTGTTCATGGATGTTTGCCGAATAGAAAATGGATACAAGAACACTACACGTACATGCAGCATATCCATTTCTGCCACTGAAATTATTACTAATTCACAGTGTAGTTTAATTATTAATCCGCCATCTTATTAACCTAGTTTCATTAGACCGATTAACGATGCAAGCAATTAAAATTCATTATTGCAGTATTGCATCGTGACTTATTTTATCAAGTTATAGATTTTTTCATGAGACGGAACCCTTCTTTATTCTTTTTTTTTTTCAGTAGCGTGTTTAGTATTTAATTCACTTTGTAGATAATATAAAATCTTAAAACAAAGTAAATGTTATACACGATACGTTTAATTGTTGTTGTTAAGACATTATTATTGACAGAGTTAATAGCTTTAGGTTGAAGTTTTATTCATTATTCCTCCTATACAACTTTCGGAAAAATTATGTTATAATAATAAAACCTCTTACGTAAATATAGCGTTTTGGGCTCACTATAACTTTAGCAATAAACCCCTCTGTGAGGAGACGATAGAGAGGCGAGCGTACGGTGCGTAGCGTTCCGCGCGCGCCTCAAAGAGCCAATAGACCACCACAGTCGGGGCCCTAAAGGGCTGATGTTTAGCCGGGGCTGCGGGGTAAGCGCAATGAGGCACCGCGACCTCGGCCCAGAGCAGGAGAAGGAACGGGGGGTTTTTAGTCAGTAAGAGTCTGACACTCTCTCTCGCCTTACCCTGGGCGGGAGAAGCCATTGGATGACTCTCCCCTGACAAAAAAAGCTATCCTTTGCTTTGTTTGAGCTTAGAATGCAACCGCTCTCTCTAATGAAGAAGAAGGGAAACTAGAAAGCCGTCTTTACTAAGCAGTTAAACTGATAAAGAAGGAGTCAGACTGATTGAGGGAACGATACTGACCACCTGCAAGGGTTTCCGCCCGACAAAATGCCCGTAAATCCAAGGGTACAGCGACTTATGAAACCTTCATACCACCATTGCCCCACTGGGGACAATATCCAGCCAGGGTTGCCCATGCAAATGCAAAAATGTACAGCAAGGTGCAAGAGCAGGAACAGAACAAAAAGAGTTGGGCTGTGATGGCAATTTTCAGGTAAGCGTTTAAAGAGCCACCAGACCTTTTATGCGCACAGCTACAATAGGATGATTTTTTATTCTGGGTTATTCTTAATGACGATATTATAGTTATAAACTTAACTAATATAATGGCTTTTATTCTCTAAAGAAACAAGCGAAGGTGCTTGCCAATCATATTAACAGTCCTATTCAGATAAATGTCGAAACATAACATTCGAATCAACGTTCATAATGAACCTGAGATTTCCCTTTCAGTAAGTCATTGAACAAATGACTAGAATTACTTATAATGTATGCCTAAATGTTATTATTTGTAGAGTAAACATGGCTCAAAAAGCGTTACACTCGGGTTATTTATTCAATGTGACGAATTAACTAAGTATTATCTTTATGAATGATGTTATTGAATCGTTTTGCAACATAATTTATTCCAAATAAACACGCCGGAGGTTATTTGGTTTTTTGAATTTTAATTATTTTATGACGTAAACTTGTCTTTAACTTTTTCAATTCATAACAAAAGCGGTGTGCTAAAGAACGTTTAGGTGAAAGATATTTGTTACCTGCGATTGGCTGAAAGTATCATTTCAATGCGCAATTTACCGTTGCAAATTATATCCTTAATAGCATCGATAAAACTGTTTTAAAACACGTCACAGTATATAAACAAGCTGTAACTATAATTGTTAGTACAACAATAATCTTAATGGCATTATCATTAACTAGAATTTACCTTGCATTTTCCATATTCATGTTTAAAACACAACACAATTAAAACTTTATTGGCACTGTTTTAGAGTTTATAAGTATTATCACTTGTTCACATTTTCACACGCGTGTGCACGTTCGAGTTGTGATGCCGTTATCTTAAGAATAGTTGTTCAGATTTCATTGCCGTTTGCCAGTAGTGGGGAGACAGGTGGACGCTTTGCTATTAAATTGATTGATCAATGTCTCGTCTGAGTATTTATTAAGCGACAGTCATTGATGCACTATTATGGCAATATGTATTGACGTACAATAATGCGTATATTTGATCTATTCCCGATTCATCCGGATAAATTTGATTAAATATTGAAATACCTATGATATTTTCCCCATTCATCCGAAGAGTAAATGGTATGTCCGATTCATCCGAGAGTTTTAAAGATAGTTATTAATAAAAAAAGTGATGGAGGGTTGACAAATAAAACAAATATTTTAATTATGTAAATATATATTATTTCTTTGTAAAACTTTAAATAGTAAGATGTAACATATAATATAACACCAGTAATACAGTACCATAAAAATCAACTTTAGGACTTATCTATTATTCTTCCTGTATAGGTTTGATACATATAAATCTGGATATACAACTATTTGTTAATTCTTTTTTAAGCTGTAAACAGTAACAAATACAATATTTAAATTACTACATTAGTAATAAAGTGTTACAAAATCAACTTTAATGCCTATTGCCCTTTTTGTAAGTATAGGTTTGATACATACAGATTTGGATAATAATATTTTTTAACTAATACACTCAAAAATCAACTTTAGGACTTATCTATTATTCTTCCTGCATAGGTTTGATACATATAAATCTGGATATACAACTATTTGTTAATTCTTTTTTAAGCTGTAAACAGTAACAAATACAATATTTAAATTACTACATTAGTAATAAAGTGTTACAAAATCAACTTTAATGCCTATTACCCTTTTTGTATAGGTTTGATACATACAGATTTGGATAATAATATTTTTTAAGTAATACACACAAAAATCAACTTTAGGACTTATCTATTATTCTTCCTGTATAGGTTTGATACATATAAATCGAAAGCCTATGATGTATAAATTTCAGACTTTAATATTAATAACTACGTTAAGTTGCAAATTTTTTCTAAGCAATGACCCAAGGTAATTTCACAGTTTTGATGCTGCGTAATTATATGAGCGAGACGTTTATCAAAATCTATGACATTTTTGTTTCTATATGAAATTGGAATACCCTGTTCAAATTGTTTTATTTTGAGATCAAATTCTTTTATATTTTTCAATAGGAGATCTAAAAATTTAATAAATGACGGTTTTGCATTCGATATTCCTTTATTTAACTTTGAATGCCACCCTTCTAAATGATTTGTGGTCCTGAATCTTTCACCGTAGAATGACCATTTTCCGAAAAAACTAGATTCAATCCAGGCGTTCACAAAGTAGTCATTAAAAGCTAATATTTGCCCGTTATTGGAACAATCTTCCATTATATATAAATAACCATCACTGATTAAGTGTTGTGGCAGAAGTGATAAAGCGCCACAGATTGCAACGTGAGCTTTATGTACGGGATTTTTATTTAATTTTAATTCTTTTGCTTTTTTTCTTAGAGCACTTTTAAAATGAAAATAACAACCTACAATTTTACAATTAGGCATTATTTTTTGCATTGCGTTCATAGCTGCTGCCTCGTAATCAGATTGAAATTTTTTTGGATTCCAATCCGGCACTTGCGACTTTATTATTTGAAAAAGGATTTCATAAGTAGCCTGTTTCTTATTTAATAATAACGCGTATACCAGCGGGACAACGTTAGATGTTTCTTCGGAACTACCCAAATCTCCATGGATTGTGTAAAGTTGGTAGAAGGGCTTAGGACATATTTTAAACGTACCATCTGCAAAAATATGTTCAACTGTTGCTAGTAAGTGCTTCGCATTATGTGTTCCAAATACTATGATTCTGTTCCTTTGGTCTGTATAGTCAGCCAGCAATATTTTGTCTTTATATGCATCTGGGATTTCAACGGCAGAAGCAGTTTGAAATGTGGTTCTTTTCACTCCCAGTGCTTTATTTCTGGAATGGTATAAACTGTTCTTTATTGATGTAAACTTCGGTATTGTTGCTACTAGGTCGAGGCCAAAATCAGCGAGCGAAGACATCTCATTGTTGAATAACGTTGGTATTGGGTCTGATTTCGTTGCAGCTAATTTTCGGCATTGGTTCAGTTGTTTCTTTATTATGTTGGCAGCAAAATTTGGTTGGCATGTATGAGGATCATCACTCACAACTAGATTGTTTTTTGTGACTACACGTCCACGACATTTCCGAGTTTGCCACTTCACACAACACCAAACAGTTGTACCGTTTTTGTTTTCGCGTTTTTTGTTATGCTGATAGCCACCACGCAATAAAAGAAGTCCTCCTCGTTCTGATTGCTCAAAAACTAATTGAGTCTGACTGGAACTACTAGGTTCACAAGTAGAATCCATGATAAACTAATCCAAATCGTAGGCAAAACAACAAATCCGATCACGAGCAAGGGTCAAATGTTCAGAAAGTGATTACAGTAAGTGATAGTAGAGATGTTTCCTGATCGCGAGCGAAAAGTCAACTAAATTTTCATTTATGCAAAATATGTGACATAATTTTTAAAAAGAAGGGTGGTTTTGCGTTATGATGCCGACAAAAGCAAAGTTAAAAACTTTTTACATTGTCTTTTTAAAATTAACAATTACATTTAAATAACAATATTTTAACAAATACTAATCCATTCCGAAAACTCTCACCAGTGTTATCTATCCCATCATAAAACCCCTTTTATGCAATATAGAGCTCGTATTTTTAAATACCTACCTGACGCTCTGTAGCCCTTTTGTTCGGTTGCCGACTGCAAAATTCTCGTAATAAGAACAATTGGTTAGGCACACTTATTAACATTTTTTTGTTAATATATAATGGAAGAAGGGAAAAGGTATTATAAAAATATGGTATCTACCTATATATATATATATATATATATTTTTTTTTTACAGGTTGGTCGTGTCACCTGACCGACGACAAATAAAAGATTTTGAATATTAGAAGATATTATTTTTGTAGTAAGTAGGTAATGTTTTTCTTTTTAGTTTTTTTTTGGGCATTTTAGATAATGTAGGAATAGATTCGTACAGTTTATCTTATAAAAATAAATTTAAAAAAAACCGACTTCCAAAAGGTAAAAATAATAAACCTTCCCGACTTCTAACACGTACTTAGAAGTCGGACAGGTATATTCAATTCACTTTTTAGTGTTGTAAGAAGGGTACAACACGAAATTTCAAGCGAGAATTCGTTACGTATGTAGGTACTTCTTCTTCTTTTAAAAGTCGGTTAGTCTCTATCTACATTCGTATGCAAAGTTACAACACGATACGTGCAGTAGAAGTTAGTGTACATCGTCTCGCAAGTTCGAGAAATCGACCGATTGTCTCCGCCTGGAAACTACAGGATCGATTTCAAATATTCTTGAAATGGGCCCACTCGGAATATATTTCGGGTCGAATGTAAAAAGAATCACATCAATCGGTCAACGCGTTTGGGCGCTATCGATGTACAAACACACAAAAAAACACAACTCGGCAGTTGAGACCCTCCTCCTTTTTGGGAAGTCAGTTAAAAAGTGAAAAAATATTGTAAAAAAGTGAGTACTTGTATTTATACATACATATAATTTGTAATACCTAATACAGTATATTAAAAATATGAGTTAATATATTTTAAAATATTTTTTCTGCTATCTATACTTTTTCTTGTCTTATTTAAGGATATTTTCATGCCGGATGAAAAGGGAATATTTTTTCGGATGAATTGGTAATTATATAATTATAATTTGGATTTCGGATGAATCGGGAATATTTTTTCGGATGAATCGGGAACTAAAATAATTCGGATGAGTTTTGCGGATGAATCGGTAATAGATCTGCCTCTTTTCCTATTTAGGTCACCGTTATATGTTATTTTTTATAAGTAATACGGCGGACAATGATGCCCATGGTATCACTTTGGTTGAGCCGAATCATTATCATTCGCGTTGAGGCATGGCTCTCCGGAATTTGGTTGGAAGAATGATGGTAGCCAAAATGGCTCACATCATTTACTGATAACCCAGTTTTTGTATACAATTAACTTATTTATTTGGGCAAATAGGGTTGATCGCGTTATTCACGCAATAATTGGGCAATTTGCTAGTCTCAATCAGAGTCGTGTCGTGTGTGTCTGTGTCGTTTCTGCACGAAACATTTGTATATGTGATATATATATTATATTGCCCAATAAATTGTCGATCGCGCGTATGGTTTTATGCAAATATTGTGTTCGTCTGTGTGTGTTGGATAATAATATGATGAGAAAAACCAGGCAATGTTTATTGTTATAATGACGTAAATGAAATAAGGGAAAAAGGGTTATATAATAAATAGAGTCGATGACTAACTTAGTTGTTTTTAAATATCTGTGTAATTTTAGATTAATTAAAATCTTTTCACGTGTTTTTCTTAATATTTTTGACGTTACATCGATTTGATTCATATACAAAATGTAATGCTCACACACCACTCTTGCTTGACGCATCTATTTTAATAATTATTTCCCAGTCAAGTAGTCAGTATGGCAAGAACTATAAAAAACAACGGATGGTGTACTTTTAAAATACGGGATATTGCATAGAACATTGCTATTGTAATTTCCCACAGATGATTATAAAATGCTATATTTGCATACGACTAATACCTACATGTTGAAATACATTAATGAAATAGGAATAATTTTCAACTGGAATTTATTGGAAAAATAAGTACAATAATTTTCCAAATAATTCTGAAATAGCTTTTTATAAATTTTAATAATTAACAATCATGCATGGAATAAATAAATCTCAATATATGTATTTTAATTAAAGTCAACATAATATAATTTTTTTTAAATTTTTGAATTGCAAAAAAACATGTCACTAATATGTTTTTTAATGGACTGTTTTCTTTCACTGGGTTATTTAGGCTGGATTGTCATCTAGTAAGATCAATCTGAACTAGTCTGGACTTTTTTATAATCAAGCAAATAAACTAAGTAGGAAGAAAAAAATGTCATTATTGATCAAACGATGACTTCACCCCTGAACGTGCCACATTATGATCCGAAGGCTTAGCGACCTTTAATCCCTATTTCTAATATATCCTTTAATGTCCTTAAACAATGACCAGAGTTTTCCTAATGTGTTTCTGTTCAGTTGTTTACGGTTACAAAGATAACGACCAAAGTTACCATTTTGGTAAAGTCACTTACTTTGGCTCCAAAAGCGACTTCTTGATAGATACAAAGATACGTCTGGGAGTTTACTTAAAGAAAATATAAAGTATTTAAAGACTTTTATATAGTTACTTTGGGAAGTGGTTTAAAAAGTACACTTATTTCATTATTGTAAGCTTAAATGTGTTTGGTGTGTGTAAACATTATATGTATTAATAATATCAGACTTATTATTTTGCATGAAGATCAACTATCGATTTTGAATGTGAATATTAATATTCAAAATAAAAAAGAATTCAAGTAGTCAAATATTTATATATGTATCTATCTATCTATCTATATTTATTACTTTCGCTTAAACTCGAAACTGAGTCATGACATAGCTTTCGCTATAGCTTTAGGTAGCTAATGAGTCAGCATCGATTTCTAATCGAAATAAAAAAAAGTGTTACAAACTTCTGTTTTGGTGACTATCTTCTTCAAATGACTTTTCCAGACCACGGACACTCTTACTGACTAAAACGACTGACCCTTTCCTTCTCCTGCTCTAGGCCGAGTCCGCGGTGCATTATTGCGCTTATCCTGCAACACCAGCTGATTTTTGAAAGAGAGAAAGTCTCAACTGAGCGTAATGAAGCAGTGTCCCCATCGACGCCGCCTATGAGTACCCGCATCACCAGTGGAATTGTAAGTGCGATAGCAGAGTTTTGAGGATTAGATATTTAAGGATTTTGGATTTACTAATTGGCAATGTTGGGGCTCTAATAACCTCATTCACTTGGCGAAATAAAACACAAACATGGCTTCACGCTGGTTATTTTATGTGGTATTTTTGTTAGTCTGGTGAATACCATACATGCCATTTTTGGTAAGCCAAAATTTTTATCCAACTGGAGATCAACACTCGGCAATCGTGTTTACAACCATGGAGTATATAAGACAGTAAACATAATTATACTTGCTAATATTTTAGGCCATCGAACTCAGATCAAAATTAGCATAACATTTAAAACATTTGCAACAGTTGCTCAGAAAATGATTTTTTATTTTAATAAGTAAACAGATGTGAGGCTGTTATTTATTTGAAATAAATTATTATAACTTAAAATCTCTACTAATATTAGAAATGCGAGTGTGTATCGTTTTGATTTTATGTATTTTTTTCGATAATCAACTATAACAAATATACTCCTCACACTCCAACCGCCCCAGTAGGCGACATTGAAGGCATCAGGGTTCGCGTGATGATCTACGACCATCGCAAGCACGGGTCTGCGGACGGTGAGCAAGGGTAATCCGCGCGACCGGAACCAGATCCCAGGCAGCGGGCCAACAGACCACTCCTATTTATTCCCTTCGAGCGAGAGAAGTCACAAAATGGTTGATGCCGCTCCAAGAAAATATACCTACTCTGTTCCAGTCTCCGATATTTAAATTATATATTATTTAATTTTAAATCAGTTTTTTTTTCATAAAATGTCAATGAAATTTGGCTTTTTATCGATCTCAATTAAATAAACAATTTATTTCAAATATAATGAGCTCTTACACATTCAAAATTACCTCTGAGACCTCTCTAATTATGAAACCTAATTAACGAAAATGAAATTCAGGTTTTATCTAAGATGAGCTTTTGAAACTATTGAAATTTTCTCTCAGCCTTTTTGATGTTTATTTTGTAAAACGTATTTTGTAAATATTCTTCGTATTGAAGTCCTAAAAACCGAATGAATTTACCTTTAGAATTTTTAGATATAAGTTTTTCATCAACAGCCTCGGAATGCCCATTGCTGAGCAAGGACCTCCTCTCAAATGAAGAAATGAATAATAATATACCTATATTATAAGCATTAATCATCAAGTTTGCTTAAGGTGGAGTTCAATATATAATCCAATATATTTTGTCATTTGTATCATAATAAGAAAATATTTCATAAACAATAGATTGGAAACTCTGCGACTACCTATGCAACTTACATATGTAGGTAATATGCTAACATAGTGATTTATGCACCGTAATGTTTTTTGCGCAGTTAGCTTCTCTAATATTTGAGATTGGCTGCCGTGATTGGAATCGATTTAAAAATATTAGTCATGAGTTAAATATGCACATAGGCAATACATGCTTACCTAAATAAAAATCATTTTTAAAGTATAATATGTATTTTGTGACATATCCGGGAATATAAATGCGGATGCAAACAGATATTCACTACAAAAATCAAATAATGCAATATTAAACTACTTATACCGTTTTTCTTTTTATGTAAAATGATAAAAAAATGCAACAACAACAGTTGACCTATTATAGTAACAATAACATATTTGTTTCTATAGTAATGTTTTTTTTAATGATGGTAAGCCATCGCCGCTCCTTAACACCCGCAATAAACAAAAAATTGCATTTAAGAGTGTGGCATTTACGAATTGTAGATTTCCTAATCTAAAATTCCTAAAAGGAGGAGGATTGAGCCTCCGACAACCGCACTCACATGGCGAAATAAAAAACACGTAGTTTTTTCAGGCTGTGGTAACAATCTGGTCTAGCCAGCTCTCCTACCTATTTACAGCATATCTTTGATTTGGGTAAATTTTTATTACACACCTATTAAATACTCTCAAGAATGTTCAACAATAAGAAGCATACAATGTTACACACGTAATACATTTAGATCCTGAACAAAAAATGTGTTTCACACAATTGCCGAGTCATAGTGCCAACCGTCTACATTATAAATAGTTATGTCTCAACGAAGTTCAGAGTTAAGGTAACTTGGATTCAAAAAATAAATTTTAAAACTAATTAACTAATGAAAAGAGTATCAGACAGTATAGTCTTCAAATATAAATATTTTAGTTACTTAAACTTTGAAATTAAAGTTGTTGTGCTTTTGACGAATCCTTAATTAAATTGCATTTCTCTTGAAGAATAGTTGGTAAAAGATTTTTTCTGAATTCGCTTTTAGAGTTACTATTTCATTCATAGTTTAAGACAAAAATGCTTTATGACCACGAATATATTTTTGCCAGCTTGTTTGTAACAAAGAAACAGAAAGAAATAAAATTTCAAATTAAATTATATTTTTAATTTCTAATATTACTGTAACAGAACAACTAAATGTATACGCCATCACACTGTCTTGTGTTCAGTTCTTCAGATCTATCAAAGAACTTTTAAAAGGTTTATTTGCAGGGTTAGATGCGATTCCTAACATGAATATGCAGTACCGATGTGCCTCTGTTCTTGAATTTATTTTCACAATTACTGTACATGTTTCAAATATTAATAAAATAAATAATATTATAATAAACATTAAATTGAATTCAAAGAAAAGTTGTAATCTAAAATAGGTGGGTTGTCAATTTTTTTAACAAAGAAAAAAGAAACAAGGGAAACGTTGAGTAACCTCCATCTTTTTTGGGAGTTGACTAAAAACCCTTTATTAGAAAGTTACTTTAATTCCAATAATGTCCAACTTGTATCATAGCAATAGAATAGGTGATGCATAAATTAATTATTGCAAAAACCATAGTCACGTCGATGGAAATTATTCTAAGCACCGTGTACTTAAATGGACGGTGCTCCAAAAACGATAAACAATCTTCCAGAAAGTCTCGCATGTTGTCATCTGTAAAAAATAAAGTTAAATAATCAAAGTGAAAGTTGAGGTCAAATCTTTTTTTTCTCAGTCGACGCCATAGTGTGGAGTGAGAGGAAATGGTAAGGTTTTCTGAGAAGCAGTGATTCTCATAAAGGAGGAAGCCGAGCGCGTGAGGGATTTATTCTCCTCACGTTCCAGCCACAGCAGCAGGAGACACTCTGGACGTAAGGGATCGCGTGACTATCTCCAACTACCTTAAACACGGGTCTGCGGACGGAGAGAAAAGGTAGCTCATCGCTCTATCAGAACCAGACCCGCGCGTTCCGCGCATCAAAGAGCCAATAGACCACAAAGATTGGACCAACTGGGTTGATGTTCAGCCCGGGTTGTGAGCCAAGCGCAATTAGATATCTCAGCTTCGCTTTGAGCATGATAATGAACGGTTCCGTTTTCAGCCAGTAAGAGTCTGACACTCCCTCTCACTTTAGCCTGGTCGAAGAGAAGTGTGAGAGGACAATCAAGCATCCCCCTTAAAAAAAAATGGGTCTAAAATATTGAAGTAAGAAGGCGTTTTTATCACATGTGTAATTCTGAAAATTGATCTGTCGTGATTAATATATTCTTCTGCGCATTCAGTGCACTTGTAATCCATAATATATGCACGGGCCTGCGGTCGGCGAGTAAGGGCAGCTCGCCGCCCGACCAGAACCAGGCCCGAGCGTACGGCGCGTAGCGTTCCGCGCGCGCCTCAAAGAGCCAATAGACCACCACAAACCGGGCCCTAAAGGGCTGATGTTCAGCCGGGGTTGCGGGGTAAGAGCAATGAGGCACCACGACCTTGGCCCAGAGCAGGAGAAGGAACAAAGGGGTTCTTACCCAGTAAGAGCCTGACACTCCCTCCCGCCCAACCCTGGGCGGGAGAAGCCATTTGATGATTTGCCCCTCACATAATATATGTAGTTTCATATTATTATATTCAGATGCTTGATCAAAAACCAATTTACTGTCATAGCAATGTTTTCTAAAGCAATTTTGCTATGTCAATATTTTAGCTATTGTGATTAATGAAAGTAGAAACAGTCTATACACATTACTAAATTGGAATCAGATATGTCAAAGTCTGTATAGAATCTGAATGATTTTTGTTGGGCTATTCAAACAAAATATTTCTTATACAAATAAATTAGTGAAATCTTGACTTTATATCACTTTAAAAGTATCATTGCAGTAACCTTCTACTATTTGAGACCCAGAATACAACTTTTAATTTTTTTGTGGCAAAGGTTGGCAAACGATCGTGCCGCCTAAAAATTACATGATGGTAAGCAATCAGCGCCGCCCCAGTGATTTCGGAATTGGAAAACCTTGGAGTCTGGGAATGGAGCGGGATAATGGGTTTACGAGAATCTCATTCAGACACACTCACGCGTTATTTAACGCCTGTTTTTGATGAGGATGTGATATCACTGTGGTTTCAAGTGTGGGAGAGTCAGGCTTCGGCACGAATGGGTCGGCTCGACCGGAGTGATACCACGGCCTCACAGAAAACCGTCGTGAAATAATCAAAGAGTTGTGTTTCGCCGTGTGAGTGAGGTTACCGAAGGCCCAATCCGTTCCCTTTCCAAAAATCTCCAAATCCCTAATTCCCAAAAGGTCGACGGCGCACTCGTGACTCCTCCGTCGTTGCGGATATCCATGACGCTGATTGCTTATCCGATTGGTAATCCGTTTGCTCGTTTGCCGACCTATCACATGAAAAAAAATCAAACAAGTCCAGCCTGCCCGTTTGAGCCGAATCACGGATCTTCTATATGTTGTGTGTGTTTTATTCCATCATATTGAACTCTGACATATACTTTAAGAACCACAAATACGTCGAGCTGTGTTACTATAAATAAAAAATCATATTAAAACTCACTTTCACAAAGCTGCATCTGTTTATTTAGTAAAAGCTTCATAGAGTAGATCTCGCGTGCTATCATCTCAGAAAATACCGCGGGAGCAAACATAATTATAACATTAGTGCATATCTGTTGGACTGAAAATCGAACGACCTGAAAATAGAAGTTACAATAAAAAAATATTTTCCTCCTATACTTACTTATAGGTTGTACTGTACAAGCTGTACCAAAAACTGCACTTCAGAGATTATCAAAAATGCCCACTGAGCAAAGAGTTCGTAACACATGTAGAATGTAGAAGGAATTGGCATTAATCGCCACGCTTACTCAAAACGGATAGGGGAAAGGGGATTACACACTCATAATGAGAAATTATGAAATTATGTATGTGTTTAGATTTTCTGACAATGTTTTCCATTACATACGGTGAACAACAAAATTATTTAGACACCACTGTCATAATTCCGAACGTTCGGCATGCGCGCCTCAAAGACCCAATAGATCACCACAGATGGGGCCCTACAGGGCCGATGTCCAACCAAAGAAGCGGGCCACGCGTAATAAGGTACCGCGGCTTCGGCCTTAAACAGGAGGAGGAACGAGGGGTTTTTAGTTAGTAAGAGTCAAACACTCCCGCTTGACGCCCCCTGATGAGTTTCTCTTCACAAAAAACCTGTTACTTATATTGAAATGTTTCTTTTTGTTTACAATTTTCTGTTCTCTTAACTGGCATGGTCTTTACATCACGAAAACAATAACTTTTGCTTTGAAACATACCGGTCCAGGATATTCCAATATTATGTCATGGATACTAGCAACCATCCCTGGTACAAATGTAAAAACTGTGATGAAGACCTGGAAAATATAAAATAGGAATTAATATAATAATATATAGAGTTCAAAATAAAAAGGTATATTAGAATATTATTTTATTCTTGGGGTGCGTTACATACAGTAAATTTCACATACACATCACACCCAGAAACGAGTAATCACAAAAGTAAAACAAGCCAGTGGCTTAGTGTCTGCGCCAACCCCACAGGCACTTTATTAGACCCAATGACTAAAAAATTAAATAACCTAATAGTAGCAAAACCAACCATAATTTTCATCGGAACATTCTTCTGCAAAACTTCCAATATTTTCTTATAAACAAACATAGAACTCTTTATTTGAATTTGTTTAATTTTGTCGTGACGTCCTGCGTATACTTGCAGTAAGATATTTTCTAGGCGTTTCTTCAAATTTTTCATTCTATACCAGATCATTTCAAATATTATCACCCTTGTAAAATGCACGATTTCAATCATGTAAAAGTTCCAAGGCAGGAGTACCAAACTTATTGTAAAATGATTTGGAAATGAGGTAACGTGAGAAATCAATAGTAGTATTTCACTTGCCAAAGAGAACAAGAAAATAATGCGAGAGATCGGAATGTCCATATTAGGCCTTACGCCCAAGTCAGTGTCTATTTCAGTAAGGCTTATCAAAAGTGATTCATATTTTTCCGCATTGGTGCTAAAGGAGATAATTGCACTTATGTAGTACTTTATAAGATATAAAAGCAATTTTATTATTAACGATGGCGTTAAGGTGAACTGGTATGCAAATCTTAAAATAAATAACGTTGCTATCATGAGATATATAAAGCAGTATGTAATCGAAATAAATCGCACGAATATGTTGGAATTTATTTCAAAGTAAAATCCACCTGACAGTCGAAGATACATAATCGTTTTCACTGAAATTAGGACTTTAAGTAGATTGTAAAATGATTGTATTGGTTTGAATGCCATTTTAGTGATGTCTTTTTTGTTTGGGGCACTGACGGGTACTGGCAGTCAATTAGACCCTAGCCTTTCATTTATATGAAATATTTCATTATTCTAAGTGTACTTTAATTTCTAAAACTAGGTCAAATTAAATATACATTTTTTCATATCATATGAAGGGTATTTTATGATCTATTGGGTGATTTGAAGGTTAAATTACAGAACTGGTTCTTTCTTGTTTTTTTTTATATCGAAATGAAATATTTTTTTTAGCACAATAATTATTGTTCGTCCGTCTCAATTAAATTCATCAAATTTTCGCTTGTGTGCACTGGGCCTGAAATTTGACATTGAATTCGTCACTCCATACTGCGATCCTTGGTTTTCCATACACGCAGACTTACATAATATAATTATGATTATAATATAATATGTGCAATTGCATAGTTCCAGTTGACTATTTTAATTTAAATTGATCGCTAATAAGACCCTTGGGAATGAGAAAGATGTTATTGGCTTGTTTATTTTGTTTTGATGTTAAGTATTTTTCGCAAATTTTGGTGAAGACATTTATCCATTTCTGACTCGCATACCTACAGGTTTTATTTATTTGTTCTGTATATACGGATATGGGACTTCTAAGAGCATTTTCTGCCAGTCATCCTTTTCTATTTCCAAATTTATTTAACTTATACAGAGTTTATATAGAGTACCTGGTACATGGACCTTCATAACAATATTTATTTAACAAAATGAATACGCGTTTAGTCAAAAATAAAATTGATCATTAGAAATACGCTTTTAATCGACGCACGCGCACACTGCCCTTGAATGAGAGTCCCGTTGTGACATGAAAATAATAGAGATTTTTCTCTGTTTATTTAGGTAAGTCGTTAATTTTAATAAATTTAGATGAAGTCTTAAGAAGGAATTGACATAATTCTAATTAATACAGTCTTGAGGACAACTAAGAAGTTCCAAGGATCCTGATGTAACCTTCCAAATCTATTGGAAGCAACTGGATCTGGTAGGTATGTCCATCAGAATTAATATGAGAATCAAAATGTATTTAAGTAACATACGTTGGAATAATTACATGGTCTAATTAAGAATACATTGTTAATACATGAATGGTTCTTATGAAAGCGTGTTTCTATTTCAAGCCTTTAAAAAATAATTTTTGAATATTCCATAGCCATTATTCGCTATATTTAGGGTCTTTTTTCTAAAATATCAATCTTGTCTTTGATTGAAATTTGATGTAGGATTTTGTAATGTAGATAACTCATATTATTATAATCGTTTTATACTAACTTATTTGGAAAAAGCACTATCTTCTCCCTAAATCTCTAAAACCCTTATCCCCAAAAGGTTGGCAGCGTACTCTTAACTCCTCCGTTATTGTGCGAGTGTCCATGGGCGGTGCAAATTTCTTACCATCAGGTAATCCGTCTACTCGTTGCCGTTCTATCGCAAAAAAAAAGCAAATCGCCGTCACTGCGACCACACCACGCTACTTACACCGCCATCTTGTTTCCACATCAATGAACCTCGTTTTATGAGAATTAAAGAATTAATTTAGACGTTTCCTAACACATCTTTGCTCAACTGTGACTAATATCTGTAATGGTATTTAGAAAGAACTGGCACTTTGAATTTACTTTAAATTCTCAAGTAAGCTACGTTTTTTATGACACTTGATTGTTTTATAGAATAGGAGGTATACGAGCATGCGGATCGCCTGATGGTAAGTGATCGGCGCCACCCTTGGAAAGCTACGAGACCAGAGGAGTTTCTTTATGGTTTGAAGGTCATATCGGTTCGGAAATACCGTAACAGTGAACAAGGCAAAGACTTCTCAAACGGAGAAGTGACGAATTTAAACTTTTAATAGAAATTATGGGTTCAGGTTTACCTACTCACGAAGCTTTTCTTACCGCCAGCCAGATTATTTTAACACCTTAAAAAATCTTAAAAAGTAGGTACATATAATTTGAAAAAAGTCATATTGGTACTTGCCAGTTTTAAAGTTAGAATAAAATCCAAAAATTATTTAATAATATTTTTATTACAAAATTCACATTATGAAAGTCCAACATCGAATTCGTAATCATTACAATGGTGAATATATTATTTTGAATATTAAAACCTTTATTATACTATTACTTTTTACTTATAGAATGAGAACAGGATTTCTGATTAATAAAAGTTCAGTAATCTTTAATTTCAATACAATATTTTTGTCGGATACAATGGGGTAGTTTCCTAGGTCAAAAATAAATTAATTTGATGTTTCAATACAATAAACTATTGAAAAATAACTATACTTTTATTCGTCGATCGATCCATACACCAAGTTTTAGATTTTTTAGCTAATTATTGTGAAATAAGTAAGCTATTTGACGCAAAAATGTAATGACGTCATAGCTCACTTTGTCATATAAATTTCATAGAAAAGTATCGTTTTTGACGTTTAGATAAAAGTACTGAATTTGACTAGTTGGAAACTACCGTATTCACATACTTTTGTTTCTAAGCGACCGTACTACGTCCCATTTGAATCCGATAAGTAACTGTAAAAATACACTTGGTAAAAACTTGAGGAGACTTAGAATATTTCTTTATGGAAATAGTATGACAGATGACGGATAAAATCCGTAAACTAACATAGAAATCCTACGACTTCTATGACTATTAATAGCGAAACATATTTTCATGGATTCGGATTGGACGTAGTGCGGAAAAGATACTATAGTAAAAAAAAATACTCTGCAAAGACTCTTTTATTAACAAAAAGAAAGCTTGATAATGCAACGTCGCTAGCCAATATACCTTTTTTCGATTGGTCAATAAACTTGACGCCTATTTACATCGTAAAAAGCCTAATAAAGGTTGTTAAAAATGTATTGTTTTGATTTAGTTTTAATATATAACTAGTAATTCTTTTACAGATTCTACAAAAACAGTTTACGAGATAATTAATGAGCGATTAATTTATCACAAATTCCTAATAATTCTACACTATATTTACACATTCCTTTTGTTTATAATAAATTATCAATAACTACAATCAGTTTATGCTTATCACACCACTTACATAGATTTTCATTTCATTCTTATCTACAAAACCCCTGTTTCATTTGAAATGAAATATTCTTTACATTTTGGACCCGCCTCTCAAGCACCATTTCGCGGGTTAGAAGCTTGATATTACCTAGACCGATTTCATTTTATTTACAAATTATTCATTTAATAATTTATTTCTTGATACATCAAAAGTTAACAAACCGCGATTCGCGGCAAACACGTAATATAGTAAAAAGCATTTTATTTACAGAAGCCTAAGTGTGATTTTACAATTGCACAATTTGATTACAAAAATAGCATTATTTTTTATTAAATGGAAATATATTGTATTATGTATTATTGTATACTAATGCTCCCTTTTAATTTAAATTATTAATTCCAAAAATATAAATTGGGAGATTTGGTAAAACGTTTGACAAATTCTAAAAAAAATGCAGTAATAATACAGCAGAATCATTTATTTATTTCAAAAATATGAAAAGGATTTCCAATAGAATAAAATTACAAAGCTTTAATTACGGTTCATTTTGAGCATAATTATATTACATATGTGATAAGGTACTTTAAATACTTGTTCAATAAAGTCTACTTTCGCTCTATTGAAACATTATCTCTCAACTACGTGAACACTTTCAATAAGAACACATCTAGAGCAGCAAGGGACATTGTTGCAGATATTGCAAAAACAATCTAATGTTATGTGCCAAAAGATTGTCTTTTGAAAGACGTTAACTTTTAACGACAGGAAAATTACTGCTCTTTTTATTTGGGATAAAAAAGCAAGCTCATTATACTTACATTAAATTTACACAGAATTATAAATGTACAATTTACAAACTTCTCTATTTACTTATAATTCGTCTTATTCTTAATGTATTTAGATTATTTATTTACAAATTAATATTATTTACATAATTTTTCAAACATAATTCTATCCGGATATTAGCATAATCGTAATTTAATATTAATCACAACTTAGTTTAAATAAAGCTTGCGTTACACTGAAAAATCTTAGAGTGATTAAAAATATCAAATTTATTTATTAAATAGTTTCTTTTTAATTTACAATAAAAATAATAATCAATATTAAAAGCATGTCGGGAATGAATTTCGTCTTTCATTTTCAACTCGTGTTAGTTTTAAAGAAATTTAATAAGAAAAAAATCCTCCTTATCCTCATAAAATAAATACATTATCTACGTTGCTGCTACGCTACCAGTAGTACCATTATAACAGTTTGTGCTCTCAGCCTTACGCTCTCAATAGGTACACGATAGTTACAACGAATTTATTTGGGCATCCTCTTAGCAATAATAATAAATACTCGTAAAATACGATACACAATATTGGCATTAAATACACAAATATTTGAAATCTGAGCAAAAATATCTGATTTATTTTAATATACGCTGGAAATTATCTCATTGTCTACAATAACCTTATTCAAACACCATTTAATAGTTCAGTCACAATTGTTCACAATAACTTTTGTCTTCAAAATTAACACAGCACTGCAGTTCAAAAGGTCATCACTACACTGTCTTTTACAGTCAAAAACGTACCATATCCAATGGACCTAAAGCGCACGTTCGCATATCACTGATACGGTGACGCAGTCTTTTACTCATAAAGTGGCTGAGTTGGTCCATTGGACTTTGACAGTCCCGTTCTCGCCCAAGTGATGCGATACAGGAACTGGCTTCCTTCTTCTCCTGTTTCGATGACCTGCGAAAGAAATGTGATCTAAGTACATTGTTTTAAATATTTTTATATTCAAATTCTAAAATTCTTTTCAGGGATTCACTTCAATATTGAAACTCTTTTGACAATATTTTGTTAGACGTCTTGGCAGCTAAGTTCTTTTTTTTATTCTGCAAACATCTGCTCAAACGAGTACATGTATAACAATCATGCAACACCAGAAAATTCCACATACCATAACCATACATAACACACGGTGAAAAGAAATTAAAAAAATAGTGACATGAATTTATAAAGTCGTCCTTAAATCAACATTAACGTAACTGTGTCCCTAATTACTCCTTTACCTTAGATAATAAAACATAACGACAACTTTGTATGTACTTTTCAAAGAAAATTCATGAATGTGTAAAGAAAATATTGAAATGAAAATATGTTAACATTTTCATACATCAAAAAACGCTTTTATAACGAGCTTAGTAGACAAAATCATACATGGAGTTATTTTGGGATTCATGCCATTACCATTTTGTTTTGCTCAAAGTCATTGACTCAAACATAGAAAGGCTTTTGCAAAGATAATTATATGGGACTTATAAGTTCTAGTATAATCAGCTTAGTCCTATATATCATCGCGGCTTTTATACCCCGAAAGGGTAGGCCGAAGTAAATACGTTTACACGACATTTATTTTTGTGCGGGAAAATCACTAAATAATTGACTTCCCGCCCAGGGTTGGACGGGAGGGACTGTAGACTCTTACTGACTAAAAACTCCCCCATTCCTTCTCCTGCTCTGGGCGAAAGTCGCGGTGCCTCATTGCGCTTACCCCGCAACCCCGGCTGAACATCAGCTCTATAGGGCCTCGTCTGTGGTGGTCTATTGGCTCTTTGAGGCGCGCGCGGAATGCTACGCGCCGTGCGCTCGGGTCTGATTCTGGTCGGGCGGCGAGCTACCCTGACTCACCGTCCGCAGACCCGCGCTTACGGTGGCCGCAGATCGTCTCTCGAAGTTTGTACGACATAACCCTATATTATGTGTAATGTATTCGGGTTGAGATTCCAGTGTGGAGCAGGAGAAGAAGCAGTTTTTAGTCAGTAAGGATCTGATACTCCCTCTTTCCCCACCCAAAAGCTATTTGATGATTCGCTTAGCAAAAAAAAAGTACTTTTTGCCATCAAAAAAAAGACCAAGTCCCACTACTTATCTGTCCTAAGTTTTAAACCCGTAACTTATTGTTTAGTTTTCCAAGGGAAACATTGTCAGGATACCTAGACTTATAACTTCAAAATCATCATTTCACCTCGACCAAGGGTCTCCATCTTCTCAAGTGAGGAGACGCCTTTGCTTAGCAATGGGCACTTCCAAGCTAATGATGATGTTTATGGTATTTTAAAATAATTAATCAAAATAGCTTATTTTACTGTCGATTCCTATTTGCATAAACAAAACCTTTCTGAACAATTATTATTTGTTTTAGAATGTTCAATATCAATACGTTATGAGGTCACAATAGAAAAACAAAATACTCACTACATTAATTTCTTCTTTTTATTGAGAAAAGTTAAGTTAAATAACAGCGAGGAAATGCAAGGAAAATATAGAGATCATTTTAAAACAGGATTTTCTTTCGTTTTTTCTACTAGGTACCTACAATATTTATGTTTCCTCTAATTGTACACTAACATGGAGAAATGTGGAACAAATACATTAGCGTTTATCCGTATTATTTTTAATTCCAACAAACATTAATACAACAATACGAGACAGTAATATCTTTGAGTAGCATTAAGTATTCCGATGTTTTATTCAATTTTATTAATATTTATGACTTAAAACGGTTGCTTCCAAGAAAAGGACTTTCATTATCATATGATAATAACCCGTATTATTATTAAAGAAATTAGTATAATTGTAGTTGGCACAAAATGAAACAAATAGTCTTGTATTCTATTGACATTTCAAGTGTAGCAGCTGTAAAACTGAGATATACTTGTAGTGTTTACCTGTGTGATGGGTCGCGCGACCACCGGCGCGGGTAGCGCGGGGTGCACGCCGCTTCCCAAAGCAGTGCTGTGTGAACCGCTGCTAAACACAATCCTCCCCTTCCAGTCCATCCAGCTCTGAAACAAAACATCCACGTTATTGACCTTGAAATTTTTATTATACACTTGATTTCCTTGGTGTTGAGTAATATCACCCGCTTCTCATGTATGTGGGTGCGGGTCCGAAACCTGGAAATTACCAATGTGACTTTTTCTGTTATATGATTATTTCACACCACTGATGTACAGTGATGGAAAAAATGCCTCTTCAGCTACATAGCACGGTGATTAATACTCAAATCTTCTCCGTGTGAGAAGAGGCCTTAGCTTAGCTGTGGGCACTTATAGGCTGATGATGATGATAATGATGAGCAAAGCTGGCCAGACAAATCAATATAAACAAAAAAAAAAAAGATACAATTCAAAGACAAGACTAAAGTAGAGATTTAATCGCTGAGAGATTTAAGAGGATTATATGGGTGTATCTGTGTTTCGAATCTGCACTGGATGTTTCCATTATGCTTTGTCCTGCACATATTGTGCTGCTACACAGTAAATGCAAGACAAAGCCTTACTTGTGTAATTAGATTAGATTTTCGAAGTGCTCATTGTTCCCCAGATTAGATGCTCAAGGTAAAGAAGGGAATCTGAAATTGTGGACGGTGAATGATACTAGGGATTTCTTATCTTACATTGGACTCATAAAATAAATAGCAAGTATCTCACTGATATAAAATTTGATGAGTTGAATATAAATAATGTTTTTTTGTTCAGAGCCAAAATTGCGGGAGCATCTTAATTCGTCGGTACATTAGAGGTGACTTAAATACAAGTACAAGTATGCTTGTTTAGATAATCATATTTATTTTTGGGTCACTTTTTAATTCTTTTAGCACCTACCAAGACCTATCCCTATTTCACCAAAGTAGACTGGAAGAAAAGGACTTCTATAATAAGTCTGCTATCATACATAGTATTGTGTATAAAAAGTATATAAATAAAATTGATTCCATTTTGTTTGACGCAATGCACAGCAGGAAAAAATCACTACTGTACTAACTGTAATGACTTTATTTAAATATTTGTTTAAAAAAATTTGAATTCTCCAACAATAATGGAGAGAATTAAATTTTTATGAAAAACAAATTGAAATGAGCGCACGAAACTGATTTCAACGTCAAAGTTAAAAGCGAAAAGTATTATTTAAAAACAATGCCTGATTGAAATCAAATAAATATTTTCGTTCAAACTTTTCGTATTACACAATACAAACTTCATTTTTTTTATCAAAAGAGATTCTCGAGCAATCGTATAACGAGAAAAAAAAATCAAACAATCGATGCAATTTGAGAACAAAATGTGATCTATTTATGCAACCAGAATAGTTTTAAATATTTTTGAACAACACTACTAATTTTGTTTTATTATTGTTATCTTTTGTTTTTTTTCATGTCTCTAAATAGATTTTGGCAGTTGTTCATTGGGAAATATATTTTTGGCATTTGGATTGCTTGGCTGTAGGTTCAATCCACCCTCATTCGTGAGCAGTGGGTGGATTTTCGAGACCTGGCGTACACTATTATTTCATTTTTATATTGTCCATACAACTCAGAAAAGCTACCTATGTGTATTTAGACGCCACAAACAAACTGATTAGGGATACCATTTTTGGGAGGGGAAAGTCATCAAATGCCTATAGAGCCCCGTCTGTGGTGTTCTATTGGCTCTTTGAGACGTCCGTACGCTCGGGTCTGGTTCTAATCAGGCGGCGAGCTGCCCTTACTCGCCGTCCACAGACCCGCGCTTACGGTGGCCAGCGATCATCAGATCTCTTGATCTCGACGCGTGATTAGGGATACCTGAACTTATCGTTTTTAAACATAAGAATGAAAGCGTGATGATTGCTGCAATACCCGTTTCTGTTTACCATTTTTATTTTTGCAAAATAAAAACAAACCTTGTGTTTTTTTATTCAAATTTTGAAATACAAATATTTTATATCTGATATTATCATATTTGAAATACGAATATTTCATATATGAAATACCGTGCTTTGCTAGAAAATAAATTGTTGCCAAAACTATTGTTAAAAAGTTTATCTCGCCTGAAAACAACCTGAAATTTATGAAACCACTAGCTGATGTAAATTACACCTTTCTATATTATTAAAATTTTATACTTATATTATATTTATACATATATATCTATAACAATACTAAAAAACTCGAGACTATTCAATATCTTAACAAAACTGATTTAAAATACTTGACAATCAATACACATTGTGTGGATACAGATGCATATAAAATTTTTCTTATTTTTTATCAAAATTTAGGAAGTTCACCGGCACGTTATTATGTTTGTTGACATGCAAACACCCAATGACCGTCTGCATCGGTTCTTTGACTTTTTTATTTTGTATTTTTTACTTTTATCAATGACAATATACATTGAAAGTTAAATTGAGGATAAAATTTACAGCGTTCTTATTGATTGCCTCTTCAATATTTAAAGTAAAAATAAAACGTTCACCATTCTAGTCGTGGTCCGTGGTACCTTAGATATTTGTGTGACTATTCCCAAGTTGGGTATACGTACTTAATAAGTTAACTTAGACACTATTGACAAACGACCACAATCTACCCGTATCTATCTATCATCTTCCTGGACCATCAATAACTAATTTAAAATGGCCAATTTAAAAAAGTTTAAAATGGCCAATCCGCCTTGAGGATATTTAGAAATAGTGAATAATGCTCAAACCTTCTCTGAATCAAAAGAGGTATTTGCTAAGCAGTGAGCATTTACAAGGATGACGATGACCATCCTGGATCTTACTTGACAACTAATACTTAGTGCAGGTGAAAATACTTAAAAACTATACTTTATATAGATGAAAATATTACCGTTGGCCTTTTAAAACGCAATTAGAAATTCTAGACTACATTTAGCTGTCAAAACTTAATGATTTTGACAACTCGTAAATTATTCATAGCCTCAATTACTTATAAAATATTCATGCCAGGCGAAGGATTGATTTGTCTACAATAAACGATGTTGAAAATATAATAAGCAACAAAAACTTTATTGTTCTCATTAATTATAATACCATACCATGTGGTTAATTCGATAATTTCATGTTCATATAAAACAACAAATCTTTCTCATTTGTCTGTAGTTATATCTAGTTAAAATGAAATATGAATAACAATATCTATATTTATATATAAAAGAAAGTCGTGTTAGTTACTCCACTTATAACTCAAGAACGGCTGAACCGATTTAGCTGAAAATTGGTAGGGAGGTAGTTTAGAGCCAGGAGAAGGACATAGGATAGGATAGAGTAGGTAGTGTAGGTTAGGTAGAGTAGGGTAGGTAGGGTAGATAGGGTAGGTAGAGTAGGGTAGGTTAGGGGTAGGTACTCAAATGATGGTTAAATAATGGGAGCGACGCCGCGGGTAAGAGCTAGTATTGTAATACTTTGCAGATTTTTACAATCCCGCAAAAACACAAATACATGTTACTACGGATAAGCTAAGGAAAATGATACGAGGAACTTCGAAACTAATACTCAAGCCAGTTCGCAATTTATCTAAGCAGAGTCCATGACTGAATAAAGTTTGAAAGATCCAATTATAATCTACCCTACGAGCAGATTGAACGCAATATCTCATTGCTCATCAGTTTTTGTGACCACTCGACAAATAATGAGTTGCCTCTTCTATAAATTACATACATAATTTTGACTTTTAGTCCGATGTTAATTATGATAAATTACTTATTTAGCGCTGAAATTCAGCGAATTGTAATTTATCTTAATCTATGCCTAGAGTGAGAGCGTTGGTTATTTTCAGTCGTAATTTTAATGTTTCTTCGTAATTTATGATATCATTTCAAATTAATACTAAGTTTTCAAGTCTGTTATTATTTCCAAGGTTTCACAGTTTAAGCAAAGTTGAAATATTTGTGTGGTGACTCGAAGGTTTAAATTAGGCCGGCTACTTAAATGAGAGCGCGGCTCAAAACCTAAATTTTAACCTAACCCAACCTTACCTTTACCGAGTAAAAACTTATTTTTAATATTCGTTGTACATCGTGAAGATATTTTTAATTTTAAGTCAAAAATGACTTCGCACAACTACCTTGAGCAATTGTAGCATATATTGGTTATTTCATCCCCCAGGAGAGAGCCTTTTCATTAAAGGTTTTGTGATGTTATAAGACTTAGGCTAACACATAAGTTTTTCAAGTGCCACACCTAACCTCTAGGAGAGAGGGGACCTTGTACCAGTCAACTACTTTGCTGAAGAAAGTTTCGTTGAATGCAACGAGACACTATTTGTGAAATATTGACTGTCTAGGTAAGACGCTAAGTTCTGCTGAACTATAGCTTTATATATAGTTTATATTATGGTCTAGTGTTTTCAGAAGCTAACTAGCTCAATTACTGTTCACATGAACCTTCATGTCATAAAACTGAGGCTGACACTAAGATTAACTTGACTTACTACCGTACTTACACTGGAAATCCAGTCCACAACTACTACTGATGAATTTCATTTCATTTCATTTCAAAAAATCTAATCTAATTACACAAGTAAGACTTTATCTCGCATACTGTGTAGCAGCACAATATGTGCAGGACAAAGCATAATGGAAATATCCAGTGTAGATTCGAAACACATATACACCCATATAATCGTCTTTTAACAATTAAATCTCTCTCTTTTTTTTTGTTTCTTTCGTTATATATTGCGTATTGAGCAGGCATTTTGCCGCTATCACGCCTTGCAGTAAGTGATGATGCGACCTACGATGGAGCATGCTTACACATAAGCAACCTATTCACCAATTCAATCGGGCCATGAAGACACCCAGGCTAGCTTTTGGGGACAACAGACTCCAGACATTTTTTTTTTATTATTTAAAGTATGTAAGTACTGACACTAGAGAACTATATCTGTAATTTCTTTTATCTCTTCCTGGTTCATCCGTAGTTATGATTGTTTATGGAATCATTAGACAACAATCAACACAACGGGTCGTATCAACACATCATTAATCACCCACACTGAAAATAAACGTTGCGTGTTTACAGAATTTTCAGGGGTGACACGTCCCACTCAATTAGACAAAGCCTCATTTTGAACCCCTATTTATACAAAACAGATGTCGGGGCTTAGCAATAAATTGCAGGCGTTTTTTCAGTGTTCACATTGACATGATGATTTAAAGCGATACTTTTCATCACTTTTCAGTACTTTAATCTGTAAGATTGCTTTTTCAGAATTGGAATGAAATGGACCTTGTGTATTTTCTTGTGTTTAAAATTGTAAAGAATCAAATTGCCAACTTTTTATATACTGTTACGTGCCTCGTCACGTTCCTGACTATGCGGGCTTGGGTTACGGGATTGGATGAAATGAAACACTAATACCGGTTTTCAGACTTTCTATTGCACTTAAGTTACAGCGTCCACGGAGTTAAGTTATCGGCGTTTCTCTCCAGCAGAGTCCGGCCGACTGACACAACTTTGCCGTTCACGCTGACTTAACTCACTTAACTGACTGCACTTCACTATTTCACTGCACTTCACTATTTCACTCACTTTTCTTCTTTTTCACTTCTTCCTTTTCTTCCGAATCGCTTTAGACTTAGAACTCAACTGCCAGCGGTGAGCCGCAGTTCCGCTTAAATACCCCCGGTCAAGTTCTGGAACATTCAATTTCGTTATTCTTTTTGATCGTCATGCCTCCAGAACCTTCCAATAATTTCGTTATTCATTTTTATTTATTCTCCTTCTCGCTCTTTAATTTTTCATTTCTTTTACACAATAATTCCAGAAAGTTCGACAAAACTTCCATCAACTAAAAAACTTCATGTTTACGGCGGGACTCGAACTCGGGGTCTCTGTGGTGTAATCCACACGCCTTACCAATTACACCAACTCGTATTGACAATTCACGACGAAATTTACAATCTCTAGGCAACGTTTGACAACCATCCATTGACGTCATGATGTCAAAGAGTTTGAACCACTTTTCCGTCACACTGCCCCCCTCTTAGATTCGCTCGTCCCGAGCATCGTTGCTGCCGTAATACCTCGCCAACCTGTCTATATGGACAACTTTCAAAGGGCTCCTTGAAGTCTTCCGAATTCTGTAAGTAATGTCATTGATCTTCGTGACTATCTCATAAGGACCTTCCCAACTCGGTTGCAGCTTCGGAGATTTTCCCTTCCTTCTGACTGGATTATGAAGCCAGACCAATGACCCTTCTTCAAACCCAACAGAATTGGCTCGTCGATCATAGCGCGTTTTTGCGCGATCACTAGCTTGAAGACCGGCCTCCCTGATCTGCTCGTAAATGTCCAACATTTTTGCCCTTAACTCGCTTATGTAATCGCTAAACTCGGTGCGAGTGTCGCCAGGTGGACAGCCCGATACAAGATCTGCCGGTAATCTCAATTCCCTTCCAAAATTTGCAAATGCAGGCGTCTTTGCGGTACTTTCATGTACAGCAGTCCGATAGGCAAGCAAGAAGAGAGGTATGTAAGTGTCCCAATCTCTCTGATGGCTGTCAACCACCTTTGCTAAGTGTCGCTCCAATGTTTGGTTGAAGCGTTCGACCATTCCATCTGACTGTGGATGATAAGGGGTCGTTCGAGTCTTATAGATTCCCAAAAGTTTACAAGTTTCCTGAAAAACTTGGGATTCAAAGTTCCGCCCTTGATCACTGTGCATCTCCAAGGGCACTCCGAATCGGGTGAATACCTCATTTACCAACTTCGTGGCTACAGTTACTGCCTCTTGATTCGGTATGGCAAAGACCTCCGGCCATTTTGTAAAATAATCCATAACCACTAAAACGTAGCGATTGCCCGAATCAGTGATTGGAAATGGTCCAGCGATGTCTAAGGCTATTCTCTCCCAAGGCATACCAACATTGTAGATTTTCATCGCCCCCCTGCTTCTTGTTTGTGGACCCTTGACAGCTGCACAACTAGTGCATTTCCGGCACCAATCTTCGACGTCATATTTGCAATGCAACCAATAAAACCTCTCCTTGATCTTCACCAAAGTCCTCCTAATTCCCAAATGTCCTCCAGAAGATCCATCATGGAACGCTTTTAATACCTCCCTTATTTTTGAACGAGGCACCACCAATTGCAAATGCTCGTCCTTGCCGTTTGTTGATTCCCATTTCCTGCACAGAAGTCCGTTATACAGCGTAAGGCTTTTCCACTGTGCCCATAAACCTTTCGTTACCGCGCTATATTGGGCGACGTCACTCCAACTTGGCTTGTTACCACTTCTTAGCCACTCCAGTATTGGTTTGATATCCGCATCTCTTTCCTGTTCTAATTTCATCGCATCATCTCCCCATGCCTCGTCAACAGTATCAGTCCTTATCACCTTAAGAAAAGCAGTTTCCTTCTTGGCACAATGCTTGCAATCTTCCACGCATGGGCGTCTCGATAATGCATCTGCGTTGCCATGAATTCTTCCGCCGCGATGTTCGATTTCAAAGTCAAATTCCTGAAGTTGTTCCAACCATCTGGCTACTTGGCCTTCAGGATCCTTAAACTGAAGCAGCCATTTCAAAGCAGCGTGATCAGTTCTGATTAAAAATTTCCGTCCCAGTAAATACTTCTTGAAATGGTGCAGAGTTTTGACTACGGCCAGCAATTCCCTCCTGGTCACGCAATAATTCTTCTCGGGCTTGGATAGTGACTTGCTGAAGTAAGCAATAACCTTCTCCTGCTCACCATCGCGTTGTGAAAGGACACCTCCTATTCCAATATTGCTGGCATCCATATCTACTACGAATATTCCTTTCGCGCTGGGGTATCCGAGAATTGGTGTGTTACAAAGCCGTTCTTTTAGTTCTCGAAAGGCTTGCTCACAATCCTCGTCCCAAACAAAGGCACGTTTATCCTCTGTCAATCGATGCAATGGCTTGGCAATGTCCGAGAATCCTTTCACAAACCGCCGATAATACGAGCACAACCCAAGAAATGCCCGAACTTGCGTTTTGTCTTTAGGTGTGGGCCACTCCTTAACAGCGGCAGTCTTGGCTGGATCAGTCTCAATTCCTCTCTCAGAAATAACATGTCCTAGATAATTCACTTCGCGCTTGAAGAAAGAGCATTTCTTTGGACTTAACTTTAAATTTGCTCCACGCAGCTTTTCCAGTACATTTTCCAATTTCCTTAGATGATCGTCAAAGTCCCGTCCAACAATGATGATGTCATCGAGGTAAACTAGGCAGGTTTCGCCCAGCAGTCCCGCCAGCACCTGTTCCATCAAACGCTCAAAGGTTGCCGGTGCATTGCATAATCCAAATGGCATCACCTTAAATTGCCAGAGTCCCTTCCCAGTTGAGAATGCGGTCTTTTCCTTGTCCTTGGGATCCAAGTCCACCTGCTAATAGCCGCTTTTCAGATCGAGCGTTGAAAACCATTTCATGCCACTCAGTGTGTCAAGTGTGTCATCGATTCTTGGTAACGGGTAGCTATCCTTCTTGGTTACATCGTTTAATCGTCGATAGTCTACGCAAAACCTCGTTGACCCATCTTTCTTCTTGACAAGCACGACAGGTGAACACCAAGGGCTAGAAGAGGGCTCTATCACGTCATTTTTCCTCATGTCGTCAATCATTTGTTCAACCTCTTTCTCACGAGCGAATGGTATACGTCTGGGCCTTTGACGAATTGGCATTGTATCACCTGTGTTTATTTTATGCTTCACCAAACCAGTTCGGCCAATATCACCATCGCTTCTTGAAAACACATCAGAGAATCGAAGAAGTAAATTTCTAGCTTTCATAGTCTCCACTTTTGTCAGACTTTTGTTTTCGTCTAAGATTTTCGTTACAAAGTCTATTCCCGTACTGTCCTTCTTCACAAGATTCTCTGAGCATTTTCTTATCCAGGCCACTTCTTCCAAAACGCCCACAGGCTCTCCTTCTTCAATCGTAATTTTTGAATCACTGAAGTTGAATACCGGAATGCGGTTGACATCAGATGACCCCACGACAGTCCTTGCCGGTAGCCATGAGTTTACGTGTTCCGATTTATCAATCACAGCGCACCTTCGAGGTAAACTTCCTTCACTCCTCCTAGGTAATGCGATTGGTACGAGAGTCTGTGATTTTGGTTCAAGAACAGTTCTTCTTAAACAGCAAACTTTTCCCAGGGTTCCACCCTTCATCGGAATTTCCTCAGTTCCACATAGTAATACTCCAGATTTTAAGTCGATGTTACACTGGTGCCCTTGCAGGAAGTCAAGTCCCAGGATGCAGTCATCCAGAATTTTGGCCACAATAACCTCATGTCGATAAACACGTTCCCCAATTTTGATTGTTACGTGCAGTTTTCCACTTATCGGTATCCACTGGCCGGTAGCTGATTTCATTCGTAGGCCAACAATTGGTTTAACGTGTTTCCTGATGTTTTGCCCGAGCAGCCGAACATCTATCACCGTCCTTGAAGCTCCAGTATCTAATGTTAGCTGACTGTTTTTCCCATTTACTTGACCGTCTATCACCAGAGTATTTCCATCGTTAGTTTGCTTGATGTAGATTGTTGGGGTTATTCCACTACCGGCCAGCGCCCACCCCGCAGCCCTGGCTGGAATTAGTTTCCCTGCTGGTCAGAAGTTGAGACCGCCGCGTCCTGGCGGTTCACCTTCTTCGGGCAGTTGCTCCGCATGTGCCCACGCTCTCCGCATCCATAGCACATGAAGTTCCGACGGCGTGGAGGTACCTGCTCCGTAGTCGTCATTTCCCGCAGACATAAGGTACGGGAGTTACCACGCACAGCTTCCACTTCCAATGCATGGGCCAGAGCTTCTTTCATGTTCTTGTGATGGCCCAGATGAACAGCAGCTCGTACTTCGGGGTCCCGAATACCGTCAATGAACGCTTGGAGAAGCGTGCCTTCAATCATTGACGGAGTCGACCGGAAAGCTCGACGCACAAGTTTCTCGATTTCCACGGACCATTGCTGTAGGCTCTCATTAGCACGCTGAGTACGCTCTTTTAATTGCGCTCTGTACACGTGCTCGAGGTGGCTGTCTCCAAAACGTGCCTCAAGTGCGTCGAGGAGGGCACTTAAGCTGAGATCCCCACTTGCGCCGATAGCTTCCAGCACTGAGAGCGCTTGATCACGGAGGGCCAGGGTGAGGGCTGACTGTGCTTCCTTCTGAGTCCAACCATAAGCCTCCATAAGTGTCTCAAACTGTAGCTTGAACGCGTTCCAGGATGTTGTTCCGTCGTAATGGGGAATCTTGAGCCCTTTCGTTGCGCTTGAGGCCACACTTGGGGCGTCAAAAACGGCTGCAAGACGGCTTCGGCTCTTCAAAGGGCTTGGGCTTGTCACTTCCTGCTTGATTTTGGAGATCTCTTCTTTCACTCTCTCCTCTATCGCCATGACGCGATGTTCCAACTTGCCTAACCCTTCCTCCACTTCTTGTACCCGTTCGACAGCCTTTTGCAGTCCCTTCGTGAAATCCTTATGCATCTCTTCCAAGCGACGCGCTTGCTCCTCTTGGCGGCGAGCTTGATCTTCTTTCAGCTCCCGTAGCTGTTCCGCCTGACAGCGTGCTTGCTCCCGAAGCTGTTCTGCCTGACAGCGTGCTTGCTCCCGAAGCTATTCTGCCTGACAGCGTGCTTGCTCTTCTTGGCGGCGCGCTTGCTCTTCTTGGCGGCGCGCTTGCTCTTCTTTCAGCTCCCGCAGCTGTTCTGCCTGACAGCGTGCTTGCTCTTCTTGGCGGCGCGCTTGATCTTCTTGGCGGCGCGCTTGCTCTTCTTGGCGGCGCGCTTGCTCTGCCATCATGTGCTGCAGCTGTAGCAGAAGATCCACCTGCACAGGCTTGGCTTCTGCATCGCTGGTTTGAGCTGCAGCACCCTCTTCCCTCACACGCTGCGCTTCTGACATTGAACGGGTACTCACTCCTCTTACGTCCTGCGGCACTAGCGGCATTTTTATCCAATCCCACTTCTGACACCAAATGTTACGTGCCTCGTCACGTTCCTGACTATGCGGGCTTGGGTTACGGGATTGGATGAAATGAAACACTAATACCGGTTTTCAGACTTTCTATTGCACTTAAGTTACAGCGTCCACGGAGTTAAGTTATCGGCGTTTCTCTCCAGCAGAGTCCGGCCGACTGACACAACTTTGCCGTTCACGCTGACTTAACTCACTTAACTGACTGCACTTCACTATTTCACTGCACTTCACTATTTCACTCACTTTTCTTCTTTTTCACTTCTTCCTTTTCTTCCGAATCGCTTTAGACTTAGAACTCAACTGCCAGCGGTGAGCCGCAGTTCCGCTTAAATACCCCCGGTCAAGTTCTGGAACATTCAATTTCGTTATTCTTTTTGATCGTCATGCCTCCAGAACCTTCCAATAATTTCGTTATTCATTTTTATTTATTCTCCTTCTCGCTCTTTAATTTTTCATTTCTTTTACACAATAATTCCAGAAAGTTCGACAAAACTTCCATCAACTAAAAAACTTCATGTTTACGGCGGGACTCGAACTCGGGGTCTCTGTGGTGTAATCCACACGCCTTACCAATTACACCAACTCGTATTGACAATTCACGACGAAATTTACAATCTCTAGGCAACGTTTGACAACCATCCATTGACGTCATGATGTCAAAGAGTTTGAACCACTTTTCCGTCACCATACCTAAATATATTAATTTACTTTTGTTTTTTTTATTTTTCTTTAGAGCGATGACCAGCGAGCCTTTGACTCTGTAAATAAATTGCTTAATGTAAGCTATATATCTTTTGAAAATAAAGAATTTGATGTGTGTTGTGAATGATTACCTACTGTTTTTATTTAGTTAAAGTTCCATAAAAATGTTTATTTAACCCTACCAATTTAATATGCTGTCAGCTTGTAGTCTCATATTTTTCACAAATTCATGATATGCTTAATTTTTTTACTATATTTCTTCTTTTTAATTGGGTTTTTCTCCTATTTTAGTGTTGGAGAGCGATGCTTCGGCACGAATGGGTCGGCTCGACCGGAGTGATGCCACGGCCTCACAGAAAACCGGCGTGAAACAACCACAACGTTGTGTTTCGCCGTGTGAGTAAGGTTACCGGAGGCCCAATCCTTACCCTACCCCAATCCCTTCCCAATCCCTAAATCCCCAAAATCCTAATCCTTAAAAGGTTGGCAACGCACTCGTAACTCCTTATTTGTTGCGGGTGTCCATGGGCGACGTCGATTGCTTCATCATCATCATCATCATCAGCCGGAAGACGTCCACTGCTGGACAAAGGCCTCCCCCTTGGCTCTCCACGTCGAACGACAAGTTGCCACCTGCATCCATTGGCTCCCCGCGATTGCTTACCATCAGGTAATCCGGCTGCTACTTTGCCGTACTATCACATAAGAAAAAATGTCGTGGATGAGTATAAAAACATACACATCACATTCAGATCCGGAATAGCAATTTGTGGATCACACAAAGAGATGGGCTGCTCGAAAATCGAACCCGCGACCCAGCCGCCGCCTTAACTGTGCAAGATCAAGATCAAGATACGATGGGACCGATATTTATACTCTGTATAAAAGTCTCGAAATATAACATAAAGAAAGGAAACAAAACGGCGAAGTCAATCTGTATCAATATTAATTTATCGGAAAGATATACGTTTTAAAATTCTTTATGAAAATTAACGCGTAAATTTATTTAAAATATATAAACCAATACAATTGTACATAATATGTCGAGTGATCATTTGATACAAATCATAATTGTTGCCTCTGCATTGTGGTTTTGCAAATTCAGCAGACAAGTACAATTGATATTTCGATTAATTTATACAATTTATTGTTATAGCTCAATTTAAACCAAAAGTTGGTTTTATCAAGGCATCTAAAATACAGTTAACAATCATTGAATTCATTAAAAGCACAACACAATTAGAAACTCAGATTTGAATTGGACTGAAGGCATACCAACTTATCTCAAAAAGTATTCTACTATATCATACTTCTTCATTATGAACTAGTCAGTGTTCATTTAGTCACGCGGGTCTAGCGCAATAAGGTACCGCGGCCTCAGCTTAGAGCAGGAGAAGGAACAGGGGGCTTTAAGTCAGTAAGCGTCTGACACTCCCTCACGCCATACCCTGGCCGAGAGAATTCATTTGTTTTCTCTCCGCAAAAAAAAAGCTTATTTAGTCAGGTAGACTTTAAAAGGACCGAGTGGACGGCGCGTAGCGTTCCGCACGTGCCTCCACAGACGGGGCTAATGTTCAGCCGGGGTTGCGGGTTAAGCAATGAGTCACCGCGGCCTCGGCCCAGAGCAGGAAAAGGCACGAGGGGATTTTAGTAAGTAAGAATCTGACACTCTCTCTCGCCTTCCCTGGGCGTCAGAGGACATTTGATGATTTTCCCCTGACAAAAAAAAGACTTAAAAAGGACGCAAAAACTCAGTACTATTTATTTAGTCAATAATTATAAGAAAGGAAAATAATTTAGTAAAGTAATTTAATTAATTGTTGTTCCGAGTCTGGGTGTCATGTGTATGTGAAATTGTATGTTTGTAACCGCACCCAGGACACAGGAGAAAATCCTAATGTGGGGCAACGTTTTTTCTAAAGAGAAAGAGAAAAGAGAAATTTGCTTCATGTGCTATATTGTACAAATGAACATTGATCAGGACTACCACACAAAATTGTGTGTCTAATCAACGGTAGAACTGAAGTTGAATTAATTAAGATCATTCAGTCCAAAGGTATCTTACTACATACTCGTCGTGAAGGTGGGTTGAAGTTTGAAACGTGAGACGATTTATTCATCTACCATGCCATGTGAATTGCAAATTCATACATTAATGTCATCGGCATGTTTAAATAAAGGTAAAGGAACTATTCATCGTTGTTTACAACAATTTGAACCTAATATCATTTTACCATGAAAGGACATGGCCAAAAAAGTACATTCCACGTACACGAACAAAATTAATACACTGTAAAATATAAATAGAAATATGAATTATTACGTAGTTTTTAGCCTCTCCAGACCTGACAATTATTATTAAAAAAATGTAAAAGTAATGCAACAAAATCAACTTATCGTTTGTCAAGTTTCGCCATAATACTCCATAGAGAAAGATAAATAAAAAGACGTTCCAATTCCAAACCACGTGTCTTAAACTACACTCGTAGAAAACGTGTGATACGATCGACAAATGTGCATTACACTAGGAACATTTTATTCATACGAAGCTGTATTCATTGGTTTTAGTTGCATTTTAAAATATACTCACATTATAATAATATTATGTTTTATTTTTATCCAATTCACCAAAAAAAAAAACTTAAACGAAACGGAACGTGTTTGACACTTTTGACAGCGTGTTTTTGTTAACCTTGCTAATAATACTGGAGTAACTGTTTTGCGTTTTGGATTTGTTTTGTGGATTACGATGAGGTGCATCAACTGCGGAATAGGCGTACAAGGGCTGCAGAGGCGTCTTATATCCTCGCTTTCTGCACATCATCAAACAAAACTTTCACGTTGGTTAACCAGCTCAAACCCAGGTATGAAGTCGGAATAGTATAATACTTAGTCTGTTTTTTTATGTTTTATCATGGTATGCGATTTTAAATAAGTAGTGCATCTTTTTTTTAGTTGCCTCTGGGGACATTCATTTGTCAACCACGCTTCTTATTATTGAATACTGAGGCTGGTGATCATGAGAGACTACTGGGGCATAACATGGCTTGCCTTGGTTGTGGAAAATCGGTTCGAAAAATAAGACACCATAATGTCAGTATGGACTCTCCATTGCTAGCTGGCCTAATATCACAAAATACTATTAATGTGGTAAGCATTTTGTTATTTTTCATTGTTTTATATATGTACTTGTATTTATCTATATTAATCTATAAAAAAAGTACTCATAGTAGGTATGTGTGATTATAATATCTATCTTTATGTATTTTCCATGTTTGCATAGACTTCTTTAAAATAGGCATAATAATAACATAATACTTCTCACTGTACAATAACATAATACTTGAAAACATGTGTTTATTCTAACTGTGGTTTATTTTCAGACCTCAAGAAACAACTATGTTTGTCATGTGTGCTGTATGCGGGCAAATAGACAGACAGTGCAGGACTTATCACGAAACTTGCAGGAATTGGGTTCGGACAACAATGCAGCAGCCCCTTATATTCAAGTGGTTAGCCCACCAGAGCCACCACCATTACCACCTGTTTTAAGCAGGCCGCTTCAAATGGAAAGTACTACCATATTATTACCCAATTATACAGAATATATATTACAGAAACGTACATTCCATACACAAACATAATAAAATACACTTTACAATAAAAATATAAAAGTGAATGATTACGTAGTTTTATTTTATTTGTTCCCCTTAACAAATAAATCATTATTCTTTATACATATTATTTTGTTTTATTTTATAAATAAATAAATCAATAATTAAAACGCCATGGTTTTTAAAAGCAAAATCTTATTTCGTGCACTTATGGCCAGTAATCTGACTAAAGGTTTAGTGAAACTATTTTCGTCTTGTTTGTTATAATTACGAGTTCTTCATGTGATTTATTTTTTGCAATTTAATTTAATAATATTCACGAATGTAAACACCAAAAATCATTGATGTACATTGAATTCAATAACTATGCAAACGCCCATACAAAAGTTGGCCATGTCCTTTATGATGGAATTCACAATATCAAAACAATATTGTCTCTAAAGATAATTGTGTTTGTGGATGTGTCGTTTCCATATTCGAGTTATAAACAAATAAATCTATACTTAATATTATAAAGAGGCAAAATTTGTAAGTTTGTATGTAGGGGGTAATCTTTGGAACCGCGGGACGGATTGCCAAAATTCTTTAACTGATAGAAAGCTACAATGTTCCTGAGTGCTATAGGCTATAAACCATCACGCTACGATTAAATGGAGCCAAGCAGCGGGTGTAACCGCTAGAGAGTAGCTAGTTATATTATAAAGAGGTATAATTTGTAAGTTTGTAAGTTTTTATGTAGGGGTAATCATTGGAACCGCTGATCGGATTGCCAAAATTGTTTCACTGATAAATAACTACCATGTTCCTGGGTGCTATAGGCTATAAAACATTATTTTGATTTTGAACAACAAGATTTTAGGATGTAGTAGTGGAAACAAGAGGGGTTCTGACTTTGGTCTGCTTACTTACTACTTATTACAACACACACAACGAAAGTAGTGATCTACGCCTGTTATCTGTAAGGCCTTGGTAACACTCCGGTCGAGCCCGCTCATTCATGCAGAGTCATGACTCTTTTACATGATGATGAGTATCCGAAAAAAGTATAGCTCTATGTAAAAAGAGGCCTTTGCTAAGCAGTCAACTCGTTTAGCCTGACGATGTGATTGATGTGTAAATACATAACATACGTACTAGGCACTTATTATATAACGGTGTTTCCAAAAACTAATCCATATGTTTGTGTAAATAAAATCTGGTCAACAGAAGTTCACAAACCAACGAGGTAAATGTCCATTTAAATATTCAAAAGTTTCGCTTTGTACAGGTAACACAGAAATTCCGTGCATCAGTTGTACCACTGGCAAACATGTCCGACAAAAAAATGGACGGACACAAAAATTGTCGAAGTTTTTACTTTTGTTTTAGAGGCAGTGGAAACTAAATATGAAATTGTCATAGAAAAAATGTACAAAACCACAAACAAAATATAACATATCCTAAGGTAGTATTGCACTGTTTTAACAATGATGAAGTACTACATCGCGAATTAATGGGTATCAGTACTAACTAAAGTCCGTCAGTAAAAAGCGCCCATTAAGAGCAGTTTGAGAGTGCGCCATAAACCCCTGGTAGACCTACGTGAATTGATTCTATTGAAAATACGAATATGAGCCATCAGACGACCGTAGATGAAGTCCATGAGATCTAAATATCCAGCCAAAATTACGTGTGTCAGCGCAATCATGGGCGGCTGGGGAGGAGCAGGAAAAGGAATCAGGGGTGATTTTAGTCAATAAGACTCCGAAACTCCCTCTCGCCACACCCAGGCTAGGACAAGCTATTAAAACCCCAATTAAAAAAAAAACGACATGTACAACATAATCTCCTTCAGTCCCAACATTCACCCACCCATTAATTATTCCAATTAAGTGAGAATTCTGATGAACAAAATCCAATTCAATTAGTGAAATCTGGGCGAAAACCCTGACTACACAGTTCTTAACTTGACTGTTCGGATTCAGTATTAGGTACCCGTATATATTATGTACGTGCGAAAGTACGGACGGAAAACCAATGGACTAAAACTAAATACTCACTGTGGCGATGTAAGTACTTACATCACTGCGTAGTATAAAACAAAGTCGTTTTATCTGTCTCTATATCCCTGTGTCTACTTAAATCTTTTAAACTACGCAACGGATAAAGTAATTAAAGAGGAAGGTTTATGTATAATAACATCCATAATCCATCCGTGGCTACTCCATAGTACAAGACATGTATAAGAATATTAATAAAATAATGTACTCGTTGAATTATGGCAACCGGGGGTTAAAAACAAAAAAAGCTTTGGTTGTCAAACACATTTGATTGCATGTACAAACTGTGTTTTTATATTTATATGCTCTTAAAATTATTAATTAATATTTAGTTAGTGTGGGAGAGCCTAGTTTCAACATGATGGCTCACACACAAACTGAGTTGAATCAACCACAGCGTTGTATTTTGCCGTGATTGAGGTTACTGGAGGCCCTATACTTCCCCTATTTATTTTAGGACTTAAGAGGGATGGGGATCCCTCTTAATTCCTTACATTTCTGAAACCCTTATCACCAAAAGGCCGGCAACGCAATCGTAACTCCTCTGGTATTGCGGGTGTTCATGGGCGGCGTCGTTTGCTTACCATCAGGTAATTCGCCTGATCGTTTGCTGACAAATCATTTAAAAAATATAGTTTTAATCCAAACAGAGACAATATACATAATATTGCTATACTTATTTGTATGGCTTTAAAAGAAGCCATATCTTTCGTAACTTATTGTTCGGCTCAGTGGCCAAAAAACGTTACCGTCTCTTTATAGAATCAATTTTTTTTTCGTACATGCATAACACATATTTTTTAGACTGTACGTAGGTAATCCATTTCGTTTACTGATTGAAGTATTAATCAATATTTATGACAATGTATCTATTTGTGTGATGAGCTAGTGTTTACAACAATGACTTGCCTAAAAGAACTTACGAAAATACAATCGAATTGAGAACCTCCTCCTTTTTTTGAAGTCGGTTAAAAAAAAGAAAACTATGCATCTTACAGGTAATGTACTTAAAAAATACAACAGAAGTTTAATATAAGAAAGAAGATACAAGATATAGAGAAAAAAAACATATAGATAGCACTGACTGAATGGTGCTACTACTTCAACTGACTGACTAAAAACCACCTCGTTCAATATCCTAACCCAGGCCGGGGCGGTACATTATTGCGCTTTCACTCATTGAACATCTCTGCCTCGGATTATTCCGAGACGGCGCCAAATGCGACATATTATACAACATAAGGCGACCCACCCGCTTGTTTGGCTACCTATTCCGTAAATATTACTAAAGACAATGACCAAAAATATATTACAGAGCTTGGGTCAAATGTCTACCACTAATCTGACCTATGTATAGATAGAAAGTCTATCAATATACCTATGGATATTGATGAACTGCATAGTTTACCGTTATTTGGTACTTGAAATTAGATAAAAATATTGTTATGGCGTGCTATATATATAAAAAAAGAAAAATCTTTCAAGAAGTCCGATGCCATGTCCATGGACAACCTGGTGAATAAAGTACCTATCTATATTGAATAAAATGTTGTAAACTCAGCAAAAAATAAATACCTGTGCGTCCAGTATGGCTGCCCCTGATGACGCAGGCAGTAGCGTCCTGGCTCGAACTCACTGGAGGAGGCGTCGCCTGTTTACATTCCAACTTCTCAGAGAAGCAGGCCCTGAAACATTCATGAGCATTAACACATTGAGGAAATAAAAACCTGTGGAATAGCAAGGGCGAGACGTTAAATGGTTTGAACAGGATGGAATAAGGAAGTGCCCTTGATTGAAATTGGCACTTATTCTGTTAGAAATATGTGCCAATTTTGGTAAAGATCAAATAATTACTACGGGCAAAAACGAGCCAATATCTTCACTAAGAGGATTGACCGACAGACTGACACTTTTTATCTGTAACCTTTGTTTGACGTTTAGCCGTTCGCCTGAAAGGTAGAAATAAATGATTTTGACCTTGAAAATTTTATAAATAAAAATGTATCACATAATTTCTTGGTAAGCGCATAGTTAATGAATGCCGGGACCATATGCCAATCAAATATTTTTTGTTGTGTTTGTTATTGTCAGGAGAGAATATTAGGAATTAGTGACCCTTTCATTTCAGTGTATCATAATATTGTTAGAGCAAAGCTACGTTTTTTACTTCTTCTTTGATAATTTGACTACCTATTTAACCATTTATATTGTAATCCCTTATTTTTTAACGTGTCGTGTGTCTTGGGTGCCTTTACAAACATACAGATCACACCCAGACCTGGGACAACAATTTGTGGATCACACAAAGACTTGTTCCGTGCGGAAACCGCGCGGCACGTTGTGCGGCGACCAGTTGCCCAGACACCGCACCAACTGTGCAGTCATCTAAATAGTTGAGTTATACGAAAAAGAACATAATTATATTTATTTGGTATTCATTTATTCGAAATTCACGAAGAATAAAATCCGCGAACGTAAGTAGGTATGTTTTCTATAATATTAATAAAAAGATTTAGTAAACACTTAACCAGACAATCCCTAATTCAATATAATATCCAGCTTTAGAATACCTTCTAAGAGATTTAATAATCACCATGCGAATTAAATTCTATTCAGAATTCCTACAAGTAATTAAGTATGGAAGATGAAGACCGAAATTGTACCATACATATTGATTACGGCCCTTAACTGTGGGCAAATTAAAGGCTCATGCTCCACCAACGTCGGGCACCATTGTCCAACATGGCGTTGAATGTTTTATTGCTTAGTATATAAAAAATCGTTATCGCTATGGTCTTTCCCGTCACCTAACCAAAACCAGACCCGAACGTATAGTGCGTAGCGTTCCGCGTTCCGGCTTAGAGCGATTTGCATCCAGGTCCGGCTAAATAATGGCTTCCTATTGGGCCCCATCTGTCCACGACAGAATGTCCACGACAATGTTTGACGCCAATGAGGTACTGGGGCATCGCCCTGGGGGCGAACACAGGGGCACCCCCTAACGCCACACCCTGGGCGAGGGAAAGTCATGCACTGATTTTCCTCTTACAAAAAATTTACTACCTTACATTGAAAAGAACTACTAAAGAAACTAAACTCCATTTTATTTACACGAGTCAAGACCATAATACTTTACACGAGCCGAGAAACCAGTGACCTTGAGTCTAATAATCACCGGAGGCCACTCAAAAAGCTTTGTAATCCTTAAACGTATGAAGCATATGCTATACACCAAATTTATTTACTTTTAATGTCTAAAAGCCTATTATTTCAGCCCTTTTACATGTTTTCACAACCTTTGTTGTACTCATAACTTTCATCACGACATTATAATATAAATTTATTATGTTTATCAGCTTACTCACGTAACTATTTGGCGAGATAACGTCACGCGATCAACACTCTAGTAGACGGCGTCGTGTATCACGCAATGTCGCCCATTTATAAAAGGCTCGAAACTAGTCGAGTTATCTCGGCAAACATTTACGTGATTAAGCTAATGAGGTTGATTGATAATCAAGTAAGCCCTGTATCGTATAAACGTCCGAAAATCACTGGGGAACAAATAATTCAGAATTGGCACTAGCCACTAGCCGGTACAAAAAGAATGGAAAGGAAGTCCAACCAAAAGATGGCAATGGTGTAAGATGGCAATGGTGTAATAAGTATGTAAAATTGGAGCAGGCTAGCTACAAGCAGAGCACAATAACAAAAATGAAAGAAGTTTTCATTGCCAAAGAGGTTCATACAAGAAAATGCGACTAACTAACTGTAGTTAGAAACATGTTTTAACAAACTATATTAATAGAATAATCCTTTATAGTTAGGTACTATAGTTTAGTGATTATAGGTAAATATGAAATGATTTTGTATTTCTTTTCTATAAAAGTTTAAGCAGATCTAACCGTAATTCTAACAAAAAAGGTTCACTTTCACATGACATACGAGAAAAAATAGAAGTCACTCAACATAGCCCGTGTCTGAATTATTAACAGAAAGATCCAGATAACTTTATCCAGACTGGTTCTAGGGCAATAAAACAAAATTGGCTTTGGGAAGTTACGATATACTTAGCACCTGAGCCGAGAAATTTACCGTTTCTCGTCAAAATACTTTTATCATGATCGAAAATAAAACGACTGTGAAATGTCAAAGAACAATCGTTAAAAATTATACATTACAAAGTGGTTTATACACTTTAAAGGTAAAATTTATAGGGGCTATGGATATTCAGAAGAAATACAATTATACGTAAGAATACAAACATGTAAAGTCTAAGCGACCATTAATCAAGATCGCTGGTCGATTTATCTACCACAGACTTAAATTTTGAGGTGGAAAAACAAGTTCGAGCGTCATAATATTTTTGCTGTCGATATTTTCAAAATACTGTCTATTATAATAAAAAATAGATATGTTAATTCAAAGCAATAAATTGAATTCATTATGTGTTCACCGAAAATTTTAGCTTTTTGCAATATCTTGCGACAAAAGCAGCAAGGACAAATGAGGTCTTGGAAGAGAAGCCACTATAACGCTACCTATTTCTATTAAGAAAGGGATGGGTAAAAAGGGCTCCCAGGAGAGAAATTTAACCCGTCATAATATTTGCACAAGGTATATCTGATCCTTGAGGAGATAGAAAAAGATTTTTTGTCTGGTTTTTTACCGTATGAATTTAATATATTTTTCATGAGATTACGCAGCTTCAGCTAGGAGTACAGTACTAGTATTGTCAAGATTCCCAAGCTCAACTGAAATACAATTTTTGTTACTTGACACGTTGCTTTTATATTTTCTTTTTCTTTTATACTTAAGTCCACTTTTGCTTGGTTACTCTCTGTTGAGTAAATTAATTAAAAAATAGTTCATAGGTTCTTTCTTTATAAATGCTGTTGTTGACACTATCTTTATAAACGTGAAAGATGAGTTGATTTTTCTGTAGCTGGTGGTGTTGACGTGTTTCCTTCTGTTTTATGTTTTTTATTTAAAAAACGTTGCTTCACATTGCTTTAGATTTTCTCGTGGGTGCGTTTGCCAACATAAAGGGATTTCTATTTCCGCACTTGCGCGGCAGTCGGTAGCCTAGCCATAGAAATATAACCTTTATTGAAATACTGTCTTATTACAATACCGTCCAAGTAAAAGGCATAATGCCTTCAAAAAATGAATTGAAATTCTATTTATTCTGTATTACACACCACCACCCTGAAGACCTGTAAAGGATGAGCTGTAAAGGGCTATTGTCGCTGGACTGGTGGTCCTACAAGACAAATTAAAATATATTATAAATATATAATTAAGCTGTATTCCAATATTTACCAAGTTAAACAAATAGAATAGGTAGGCACGTATATTTTTTTGATGTGGTTGGTCGGCAGACTTGCGGACGGATTACGTGATGGTAAGCAATCAGCGCCGCCCGTGGACACCCGCAATCACAGAGGAGTTACGAGTGCGTTGCCGACTTTTTGGGGGTTAGGGATTTGAGACATTAAGGGATTGGGGAGGGATTTGGGGAGGGGAAGGATTGGACCTCCTGTATGCTCACGCACACGGCGAAACACAAAGCTGTAGTTGTTTCACGCCGGTTTTCTGTGAGGCCAGGAAACATGGCTCTCCCACAGTTCATATTCTTTAAAACTCGACAGTACCACTTGAACTACCACACTTCACTGACAACCTGGCTTAGTAATGAATCTTATGTAGCGGTCGTGTACAGGACATTAATATCATTCAGTCTAGAATAATCTCTTGTTAAGACTAAGGCTATTTGTTTGTTAATTGGATTCTCTTCTCTTATAACAAGACTGAACGATGAAGAGATACATTGAAGTGAAGTACAGGCGCAGTATGGTGGTATACCTAGTACAACATGGTTATACAAAGGCTATTCATTAGCATTTACTAGGAATAGAGAATAGTTTATTGTTACTGAGTTTGGTGAAATAATGATACGTTTCAAATTCGTTGGTATCGCTTACAGAACTCAGTTTAACTACATTTGGAGGCACAAATACTGTTACGTTTGAGTTGCTGTAATTAATACTCAGGAACACACTCATGTTATTCGTGTAGGTACACGAAATGTCCACGAAATTTGAAGAATATCGTCGATCGCAGGAATGGATTTTGTCACGGCCCCGGCGCGACCGGCCTTCAGCGTCCCCACGAACGCTAAAAGCACAAATAGACGACCGAACTAAACCGTCACCATGCCGTCACTTTAGTTCGACATCCGCGCAATTTTTTATCGAAAATGTACGGTAACCCAACGAACACGGAGCAGACAAAACTGACAGTTCGGTTTGATCATCTACTTTTTGCTTTAATAATAGCAGGCGGCTTTCGTTCACTGCCTCGCTTCACATACGCCATTTTAGAAAATACTCTAGGACAGGTAGGGCTGACAAGATTACTAGGCGTCGCTTTTCCAGATATTCGGTACTTTCACAAACTTTTGTAGAATAGCTAGAATATTTCCGAACGGTTTGGAACATTTCGGATGGCAAAGACAAATCAGCTCGCCGATTTCAGTTGAAAATCCCATCGTGAAAGACACACCCTATGTTATGTCAGCGACTACTATGAAAGTGTGAAATATTGCTTTTTGAATCCAATTTGTGGTTTGTTCAATCAAAATTTATTCCATCAACTTCATACAAATTCAATCGTGGAATTGAGTAGAAACTGATTTATTTGCCTGTTTTGCAATCCGTTTACGTGTTTATTCGGCTATAAGTGCCAGCAATGTAATCTGTGTATACGCCTTAAATAAATCTGAGTTATATTTTATATTCATCAATGTGGGTGGGGTGTGGGCAAGCATAATCTGTCTATTCGTTTGTTGTCGTAATTATCACATGTATGTATATATATCACATGGATTACCCGATGGTAAGCAATAGGCGCCGCCCCTGGACACCCGCATTAACGGAGGAGTTACGAGTACATTGCCGACCTTTTGGGGATTAGGGCTGCGGAATAGGGATTGAGAGAGGGTAAGGATTGGGCCTCCGGTAACCTAACTCACACAGCGAAACACAACGCCATGGTTGTTTCACGCCGATTTTCTGCGAGGCCGTAATATCACTCCGGTCGTTTAGGCTCTTAGCACTTTTTATTGCCTTTGCATTTATCATAGCCTCGGCCTTAAGTAGGAGGAAGGATGGGGTGTGAACTCAAACGATATTATTACCCATCTACAAAGGGTCCGATTTTAATTAAAAACCCACATTAATCAAGGATCTCCGCCTAGATTGGTAAAAAATAGGCACAAATTATATTCTGAGGGTTAGAAGTTCTTTCCGAGGGTCTGCATAATACGGTAATTGTAATGTTTCTAAACAGTTATATTTGATTGAGGCATTAACTTCATCATCAGCCACTGTTGAGCAAATGTCTCTTATCACAAGGAGAAGGTTTGAGCATTACTCTGTAAAATAAAACTTTTTAAAACAAGGATTTCTTCGCTTTTCCCAAGTTGGTCCATAGATCCCAAGACTCAACCATTTAGAGACATTTATATTGATACAAAGTAAAGTCTATAGATTATATCTACATATTTATTATTATAGCTATGCTAACTAAGCAACTCAATTGATTTAAAATTTGTGATTGAAACATACATAAATAAATACCCGATACATGTTGCAAATTAAATAAAAGCTTGCAAACATAAAAGTCTTGTGTCACCAGAATGTGCCTGACCTTGATATATAAAAAAGGCAGTAAAGGGATGGTCAATAGATGAAGCAGTAAGGTTTGCTTCGGTAATAAATCCAGGAAGATTTATTAGAGATATTACAACGTCTATGTGACGTCGTATGCTTCGGATTATGTATTGGTTTAAACTATCAAGTAATAAAGTAACAACTACTAATCAAACTGTTTTATATCTTGATAAATAGTAAGTTTGAAATTATCGTCATTGATTGTCTGAGTTATTAAAAGGTTAAGGATGTAGTCTTTTGTTTTGGGAAATCATAAAATGGTTTCTCTCGCCTAGGGTATGGCGAAAGCGTCAGACTCTTACTGAATAAAAACTCCACCGTTCCTTCACCTGCTCTAGGCTGAGGACGCGGTACCTTAAAGCTTATACTGCCAATCATGCGATGCCGTGTCCGTGTTAATAGGATTATTTCTTTTCAAATTACATATAATACAAGTCTTTAATGAATAGCCGTTTTGTGGATAAATATATTCTACAATAAAAACCAAAGAACCTTTAAGAAAATTCACGAAGACTTAAAGTTTGGAAGCTGATTGGTATTCACAGTTGTCCTAACTAATTTGCAACATCTGAAAGTTTGTTCGTTCAAGTCTTCACAAGTAGCAGAAGGATGGATAACGATCAATAAACGGAGAAAAATGCATGACAATTACTTGAAAGCGTTTTGATCACGTCCCGTGAAATTAGAGAAGGTTCCCTTCTAGCAACTGGGAAATCCGTATGGTTGTTAATCGTCAAAGGCTTCGTATAGTGACTATTACTTACTGTCCGTACCAAGTAACCAACCTTCGCACTAAGTACTCAAAGCTACCGCTTAAGCCGTTTTATAATTACAATGAGGAAAGGGGACAAAATTTTAATAATAATGACAAAACTTCGCCTGTCCTGTTATGTAGAAAATGAAAAAATAAATAACATTTTCAATATTGTACATCGAACACTCCAAGGGAAATAAAAAAAAACAATACATTACGAGAATAAAAGTACCATCGAATAACAAAGTAAAAGGCGAGATAAGCAATAATGAAAATTAGTTGCCAATAAACATTACATTAATTGGTCACGATATGTCACTAAAACGAATCATAGATTAGGTTATATAATACCTATCCGCCTGTTCAAATAGTTCAAGGATAGCTCTCAGACTCTCTATCGTTTATATGGCTTTTAGTGACGTCACCACCATATTCTTATCTTTATTTCCTTTGTTAATTATTCCCTAGAAGAAGGTCATAATAAAAAACACGATTTTAAGAACATCCTTTTGGATGATATTGTATAAAATTATTTAAAGTGATTAAATTATTGTGTTTATAACAAACAAAAACTTCGTGAATTGAAATAGAAATTCATAATCAAAAAATAAAATCTTGTGATGGCTGGCTTACCTAAGACTAAAAATCCTATCGTTAAGAAATTTCACTTGAAGTTACCCGATCATTTGATTATAAAAGTACAATAAAGTAAGGTCACCTAAACCAAAATTCCCCTAGCACACCAGTTTCAAGTAGTGATACCTATTTCCAGATTTGGTGTATTGTAAGTGCATAAAAATAAAAAAACTCAAGAAAATCAAGATGGTCAGTCATAGGAATGAACATATTCCTAAAAGTAGTTGCCAGCGGAAAAATTACTCCGTTTGGCGGAGAACAGACACAGGGTTTTAATTCTTGACCAAGTAGGCGCTACTCCAATCGAAGACCACTCCATCGTAGGTCGCATTCATCGCTTACCACCAGGTGTGATAGCTGCCAAATGTCTGCCCATTACGATTTAAAAAAAAAAACTTACCCAAATATCCGAAAGGACTTGATGAGGCTGATGAAGGCCTGCTTGAACTTCCTGTTCATGAAGCAGTAGGTGATGGGGTTGCAGCAAGAGGAGCAGTAAGCCAGAAGTTGTAATGAAACCACTCCTTTAGGTCCTATGTACTGGTAGAGCTCATCTGGGTAGAATAAGTAGATCTGAAAAGAAAGGTGAGGTTTGAAACTCGGGACTCCTTGAGAAAAATTATATGAATAAATGTTCTTGAATTAAGTCAAGTAAGGGTTTTGTAAAATATTAGCACAAAGCCTTGTTTTGCTTATTTTGAGGATTTGAATGTCGAGGATTTCGGTTTTGGGTACAAAAAGTTTTACTGGCTACTGCTGAGTTATAAAAATATTATTATTTTCTTAATAGAGTCTATTTAAAAAATATATTATACAACCGATCTTTATCGAGTACCTTCATAAACTAAACTAATTGTTTATAAATAATTGTAATTTGTTAAGTAAAACATTGTTAAATAGTTTTTTTAGATCTAGGAATAAAATCCGTCGGGGTATAGCGACAAATGCTTCACCGATACCTGTGCCTCCGACACATAGGTACACGAGGATAATGGGCTGGTTTTTAGTCAGATTACGAATCAGACAGTAACCTGTGCATTCTTTCTTTTTCAGTCACCAATTAATAAAAAGGACCAAGATTAGATACTTCTAGTATCTTTTCTCGTATCTACTAATAAATATCCTAACACAAGTCAAATATAACATTGACAATTCGTTAAGGACATATAATAGAACTAGTATAAAAATATAAAATAGAAGCACACTAGATACAGGAAGGGTCGACTCATTGTTCCGTGAAGATAAAAGATAATCCGGCCAAACTTGTGTGTTTAAAGATGACACTTTGTAGGTGTTACAAAGTGCCCGCATTTGTGGACTAAACAGGAACCCATTTTGCGTCGAATGGGCATTATTTGGTTGAACTTGGTGTTACTATTTCCGTAGCGATTTTAGTACATATTTGCTTTACGGAAATCTGGCCAGTATATTTAAACGTATCAATCGTCGTAATTCGAGACATAATAGAACTAAAATAGTGCGCACGCCGGCGTTCGTTTGGGGTTTGATGAATTAATTTATCTCAGACAAAAGGTAGATACGATTAACATAGGGTGATATTTGAAATAACAGTTCAGTGAAAGTTTATTTCCCTGACCATTATTGAACAAGGGTAATAAAAAGTATTTCAAAGGTAACAGATTACTAATGCCGCTAGGGATATAACTTAAACAATAAACAGTGGTAATAAATTGTTTGCTGTTTAAGTCTTCGACGAGGAAACAAGCAAAAGAAATAAACAATAAAAATATCCTGTTTACCAAAGTAAATTAATAAAACAGTAATGAGATATTTTCCTCGACGATAATCTCTACTGTTATTCTAATAAATTAAAGTAATAGATCTACTTTTATTGAAAAAGTTGTAGTGTCTGTAAACAGGTTTTTTTATTTGAGAGGGGAAAATCTTCCGCCAGGGCCGGGCGGGAGGGAGTGTCAGACTCTTACTGACTAAAAACCCCCCTGTTCCTTCTCCTGCTCTAGGCCGAGGTCGCGGTGCCCCATTGCGCTTACCCCGCAACCCCAGCTGAAACACGTGAACGCTGCTAAGAGACAGAATATAACTAATTATGAAAAACCCACTCATCATAGATCATTCGTTAAGACTGTTAACTACTTACTTACGATGACTTTTACACAGTCCAGGCCTCGAGCAAGGGCCGCAAAAAGCTACTAAACCTAAGTGACGCTGAACTGAAGTTACTCAGGGCACCCAGCCGAGTTCATTAGCACTGCGGTAGTATTGGGGGATGGCAGCAAAAAGAGGAAGCCAGGTCTAGTAATTTGAAAGGGTATTTATTGCTTCTAGTTGCTGAAATTTTTCAAGCTGGCTCAGTCCAGGGCAGTAATTTGCAATAACATGTTTAACGAAAGCGTAGCCATGTTAAATTTATTGTAATTCATATTTTGTTGCACGACTGCATGGTTGGTGCAATGACTGGGCAACTGGATGCCGTGCAACGTGTCGCGGGTTCGATTCCCGCACGGAACAACTCTTTGTGTGATCCACAGATTGTTGTTCCAGGTCTGGTCGGGCACCCACGACACAGGAGAAAATCCTAATGAGGGGAAATGTTTTTTTTTTTTTTAATGAAAAAGAAAGCAAAAATTTTACTCCAAATACACATACAAATTGGCCTACATCTCATTAAAAGTTATTCAATGGAATTCGACAAAAAAAGAAAAAAGAGAAAAGGTCAGAAAAGAAAGATCGGTAGAACTTTTCCCATGGTCCTTTGCTAACTTTTAGAGAGAGACTATTCTCAATTTTATTCAGTTTAAATCAAGTTGTTATTGGAATGAAAATGTTCCTCGGGATTCTCTTTCAATATTATTATAAAATCTAGTCTATCGTAACACTAGTTTGAATCAAGAATTGTTTAAGAACAGATGTCGTCAATTCAAAGTTTTAAGGTAACAGTCTGGTATAGTTAGGTCTGCAACAAGAAAATAAAGATTGAATAAGTTCAGACACAATACCTATGGTTACACTAAATTGTACTTATTGTTTTAATAAAGCCATGTCTTTTTATAACTGTTATCGGTTCAGTACTCAAAAAGTCGCGTTGATTTCTGCACTGAACCTGTGTATCAAATATAATAAATTTGCAGGCTGTACGTATTTCAATATTCGTATTCCATGAAATAAATACACATAACTTTTTAAGGTAATCGGATCATGTCAGTTTTTTTTTATAAACTGTGATTCTTTTGCGGCCACTGGTTTACAAATAAGTATGATAAATGATCACAAAATTGTTCATCTTGAGCTGCGTAGTCTAGGTCCAAGAAGAACCTACGAATTTATTAATTCTATTTCGTCTCGTAAAAGTGTGTTTTTAGTATTAAAATACAAAAGAGGAAAGTACAGAGAAAACCCATGTTAACACACTAAACCTGAGTATGTATATACGTAGGTATAATTAGCGTTTACAAAAAAAAAACTACTTATTCCTGTGAATTAACTGAGAAAAACTCTCCTAGTTTCATGTCACGACGGGACTCTTAGTCTTTAGCAGCGTACGCGTCGCGGCGACGTCGCGCAACTGACGATACACTTACTATTTAAAAATAAGTTTTACAACTAAAATATCCGATAAAAAATTAATGAATTACCTCATTCTAAAAAGAAATAATTCAAGTAATTCATAGTCCTAATTGTCAAACTTCTGAACTGAGCTCTAACTAAAAACATAAACGTAGAACTTTCTACCAAATCATGGTAATCGAAAATCACTTAACGACTTGCATTGCACGAAATTATTCAATCACAAATTCTGAGTAAAATGGCTGAACTAAATTTTCTTGTGATAGTAATCTCGACAAGTATTGATTCGAAAGGTCCAGTGCCTAGTTAATGTCCAAATACTTAATAGTATTTAATGGCTATTGCTCCCTAATATTTGAACTTACTTTATATAAATTGAAAGGGCTGGAGATCTCGTCCCAATATTCGAAACGCAATTTAGATTTTATAGCCAAGCAATAATGGAGTATTCGTGTAAAAAATTTGGTATTTCTAATAAAAACTGGCTTAAAATGAAGTGGTAATTTTTCAATTTAGGAATTGAATGGTTGGCCGCTGTCTCACTCGACGGAAAGCAATGAGATAGACAACAATAAAACATAATTATCCAAACTATAATATTATAAATGTAACAGTAACTCTATCTGTCTGTCTTTTCTCCACGCCTAAACCTATGTGTGTGACATTTGCTACAAACATAGTTTTTTTTTTTGTGAGATCAAATAACTTCTCCTGCCCAAGGTCGGGCGGGAGGGAGTGTCAGACTCTTACTGACTAAAAACCTCCTGTTCCTTCTCCTGCTCTGGGCCGAGGTCGCAGTGCCTCATTGCGCTTACCCCGCAACCCCGGCTGAACATCAGCCCTATGGGGCTCCGTCTGTGGTGGTCTATTGGCTGTTTCAGGCGCGCGCGGAACACTACGCGCCGTACGCTCGGGTCTGGTTCGGGTCGGGCGGCGAGCTACCCTTACTCGCCGTCCGCAGATCCGCGCTTACGGTGGCCGAAGATCATCTCTCGGCCGGAGATCATCAACTAAACATAGTTTGGAACTCGAGAAAGGACATAGGATAGATTTTTAAAACCACTATTTCACGCGAACAAAGTCGCCGGCAAAGCTAGTTTGTCTATAAACAACTTATCACTTCTAAGACACACCACTGATACGCTCACTGAAATTGCTCGTGAGTGTAAATGTGTTAGATTTCAAATGAAATGATCAGAAAAAACAAAAAAGGGTCTCTAGTGAGCAAACTCTCATGTCGGTAGGTTGGTTAACAGTCACGCTTCAAACATTTTTCACCGTATTGTCAATTCAGCGCTGTGAAAGGACTCTCCTATAATTATATTGATTGCAATCAACTTAGTGGGAAAAATCACAACCAAGCCTAATTTTTAGAAATCCCGGTTTTATCCATAGACTAATTCTCCTTGGTTGATCTCTGGGATAGTTTAGTGTGGGAAAGCCACGTTTCCTCACGAATGGGACGGCTCGACCGTAGTGATACCACACAAAAAACCAACGTGAAACAACTATAGCATCCAATCTTTACCTTCCCCTAATCCCTTAATCTCAAATCCCTAGTCATCGAAAAGTCGACAAAGCACTCGTAACTCCTCTGTTGTGTCCATGGGCGGCGCTGATTGCTTACCACCAGGTAATCGGTCTGCTCGTTTGTCGTTCTATCTCATAAAAAAAGAATAGCAGTATAGGAATGAAGATTTTCTTGAGGCCAAGCTTGGGACTTTGATATTAGGAATAATTATTCTTACAAATTCTAGACATTTATGAAGGTTTGAAAGCTTTTAAACCTGAGAGTTAAGTTGAAGACACCGTTAACCAGCTAACGATATAAAATAACAATATGCACTTAATTCCATCTCTCGTTTAGATGCATAAAAGCACTTTTTTATGACCCATAAAAAAGTATTTATTACGGACAATTTTAGGACCAATGATTTTTAGTGGCACCTTGTGGCACCTACAAGTGTTAATGGTTGTTTGTCGGCATTCGTACGCGAAGTTGGAGACTTCGTGTGTCAAAGTGTCAT